GATTAGAGTGCTCTATTTCCATAAGTCTATAAACTTTGAGCTTTGAAGAGGTATCGTGTATTTTAGATTGTATATCCATCCCAACCAAGTATATTGGTTTTACGTTATACCATCTGATAACGTTCCATTTCGTTTCCATGGAAACATGTCAAGACGCACATCTTGACGTTAATTTGCATACCGCGCGTGCTTTGCGCAAAGCAAATGCAAACCTAAGAGTGTTATCAAAGTCAACAACCTACATCAAGCGACTGTGGATAGAAGAACTCGTTAATAAATCAATCAATTACCGCATCTTTTAATCAGGTTCTCTCAACCTCCGGAGCTCCACACGTTTTTAATTAAACAGATTGGAGCCAAGCGTGGATGAGATCTTTGATTATTCATGAGTCAAAGCGTTCGATCGACTTTTGAACGTTTTTTTTTTTCGCGCGGGTCGTTATCCTAACACATAGCAACAAGATTGAACGAACGGAAATTAAAGCAAAACAACTCCCCCGTCGTGAGATAAAGTGTGTGACGGATCAAGATTATTTCGATGTCCACGAAAATATTAATCAGCAGATATTTAACTATGATTTCATGAAATTCAAGAACCACAAACACAACAAACTCGCTTCGCATCGTCCAAGAAACTTGCAGAACAAAGTTGGGGTTGTATCAGAGTTTTAGTGAACGGTAAGATTTGTACTCATTCATATGTAATACGTTTGACACGAATATGATCACGTACTGCCTTGAATTAATAAACTTAGCTTTGTGGAAATAAATTTCTTGTGCATATTATAAGGAAACGGTTCGCTTACAGCTCAATACAGCGTTGATATATGAGGTCGTGCCATAGGTAATCTTAGAACCAATTGGAATCGAGGCGAGCGATAAAGTACAAATGAAAATATAAATAAATAAAAGTGAATTTGAATATTTCGACGAAACTATAAAAGCTCTAAAGATTTGTCTTCAATGCGAGACCTAAACTTCAAAATGATTATATTTCGTATATTTTCGGCTCGAGAATGCTTTACACGTATATGTTATGTAACACTCCAACAATCCATGACGATTGTATGGAAATGGACAATGTCTCAAGGCCGCTTTAGAATATATCAAGCTATATACAATGTGTACTATGATGTAGTGCCGATTGCGGATCAGCATGTGCAGAACTCTACTCCGCCTGTTACTACACGATAGTTACTATAAAGCAATATTTCTATTCTCAAAAATAACAACAAGCGTTTTAAGTGCAGAGAGCATCGCTGTTCTTTGTAAACCTAAAACGCATTAAAGCATTACGAAATGTGTCTGGTGTTAATTTATTTATTATTACAAGTGGTTTAAGTATTTAATTCTGTCATATCTATTCTAGAATCGGTAGAAACGAAGCATATGTCCAATATTTAATACAGCAATAAAGTAAAATAATGACCGTGGTTAAAACTAAAATGCGACACACAATATTTGCTATTTATTGCTTGTAATCTAATCGCGGAGTGTTAAATTGCCGTGGGGTTGCAATCTGGTCAAGGAAGGATTTTTATTCGTGACATGAATAGCGCCTTATTTGCATACTTTAGACAACCTATTTGAAATCTACTCTCAAACAGGGGATCGCATAGATTTACCCTAATGTAGATAAACGTTTTTCATGCGTCCATATCGACTTTCCGCCCACATTGTCGCACCCTCAGTTTTAATGGCATGACTTACCGTAACCGGATATTTTGATGTTGTTTATGTTATGCAGCATGATCACAAATCTGCAATTAAAATTCTTTCGTACACGCATCGTGCATACCGCTAACTCGTTTGCATTAGAATACTTCAATCTGCATTTCATATGTCGGACAAAAATACTCCAACTATGAAATTGGACGTGCAGTGGCCACGATAAACGATACCCCAACTTGGGAATGTCATAATATCGTCTAATATTGAGTCTACATTTTTCAAATATAATCAATCTTTTACTTTTAGCTATCTTTGACGCGTCACTATGATTGATAATAGTCTGCAGCGTCTACAATTGGGTGGGGAAATATCGTTCTAAATAATTAAGCCTGCTTCGTTTTTCGGCAAAGATATGTCTAGAGAATTGAGATTAACGCCACAATTTGTTATAATGCCATTTAGCCTCAATTATGTACGTTATTCTCGTGGGCAATTAGTTACGATTGTCGTGATTGCTCCAATTAGTAACCATTGTGATATTTAATCGAAATGTGACTCATTTGCAACAATGTATGTATCAATTCAACAATGATGCTGATCTACCTGTCGGCCAACTGATGTTGCAGATTTATTCTTATACTGTAGGCTTTGGGACAGAGCATTTTGGCGTGGTGAATTGAAAAGAGTCTGCTGGTCTGTGTAGATTTCTTTAAAACTCCAGGTATATGTATTAAAGTTGAGGTAGTTCCTCTAAACCTATGCGATGAAAAACCATTCAACGTCTATTTTAGGACAATATTTTGTATTTTGTGTTGCTTTCCTGTTTACTAAATAACCTGCTTAAATTTTACAGAGGAATTGTTCTGTCAATCGTTTCTTCACAAGCCTTACATTTATGCGAATGGATAGACCTGCCAATACTACGCTTTTTTTTTTGAACGAAGATTTTCATTATTTACGTCGATATGAATTTATCTTATATTTGTGCATGAGTAAATTTAGGATTTGGGATTCAAATTTATCTTATATTTGTGAGTAAATTTAGGATGAATACAAGAGGTAAAGCAATGAAAAATAGTGGGACCTAAATTATGAATTAAATTAGTACAGTTCCTTTTCAGAATTTTACTTTAAACAATACAGCAAACTGCAAACGGCTAAGGTCGAGTTATAGATTTGAGGTAGATTTTTTGCATTATCATGTCGATAATTTTTGTCAATAGTGTTTAATCATAATTGAAAATTCGAAATGAATTTTGCCGTTTGCGGCTATATAAACACAAAGCTCGAGGTCTTTGTTATGTAGAAAATCTACGTTTGACGTATCTCTTTTAATTATTGCTTTTATAGGGATGGGAAAAGAGCAAAGCAAGCTGAAACCACGAGATCTCAACGAGCTGGCGAGAACGACGACTTTTAGCCAGCAAGAAATCAAAGCTTATTACAAAGAATTTAAAAAGAACAGTAAGACCGGAGCGATGACAGTGGACGATTTCAAACAACTTTACTCGAAATTTTTTCCGGATGGAGACCCATCAGAGTTCGCTCAACACACGTTTCGCGTCTTCGACGAGAATGGAGACGGAGTATTGGACTTTCGAGAGTTAATCGTCTCCATGTCTGTCATGAAGAGGGGCAATATGGATGACAGATTGAAATGGGCATTTAATATGTACGATATTGATGGAAATGGTTATATAACGAGGTACGACGAATCTGGCTTTGTTATTGCTTGATAACGCTAGATATTTCATAGAATTAAAAGTTGAATGGTTTTTACCCTGGCCGTTAATCCCATAACCGTTGGCTTTGGTTGAAAATGATCCCATATTAGGTGGTATTAGAGATATCATATCCATATGATAGCATTACACATCCGTTTCAAACACATCTTTGAACTATATGGATCAAAGATCACGCAGTATTCATTGTGATCTAGATCTAGATCTGATTGTAAAAGTGGTTATATTTATGGCAAGCGTGCGTGTAGACACATCTGCGCAATCATACATTTATTGTGTTTACAAACAAATTACAATTACACACTTTCTTCTATTCTTTTATATGATTAATGGAGTATTACTTCGTGGTGGACTTTTATAGGGGGGGGGTCTTACAGAGGTCTGCACCCCTGTAGTACATGGACAAACGGAGGGCAACCCAGGCTAAAAAAATCAAATTCAACCTGCCTATTGTAAATTTAGAGGAAGGGCGATTAATTGTGCATTATGTCAAAGCAAATTTCATTTTGACGTTGCAGCACGATTTGCCCATTTTCGTGCCTTTGAACGCACAAGCACACCTCCTTCGCGTGTGGGGGGGGCACTCTCTCCCCTTGGATAACTCTTCTAAATCTACCACTGACTTTATTTCTCTTGCAACAGAGATGAATTACTGGATATACTGACAGCAATCGAGAAGTTATCTGGCAGCGAGAATGACGAGCATTGTGCGGCGGATATGGCGAACGATATATTTGAACGCGTGGACAAGAACGCAGATGGAAAGCTATCTTTGGAGGAGTTTCTTGAAGGAGCTAAAGTTGACAATGATTTAGCCTCCATGCTGCACAGCATATAGTTTGTCGAAAGCAAAGCAAGCCAACTTTTTAAAATTACACTTGAAAATGTAACCCCTTTTCATCTCGTGTACACTTTTTTCGAAGAGATTTTCAAAGAAATTTGGGGTTCTGAGGCAAACATCTAGTTCTACGTAAATTTCTAAATATCATATATAATTCATATACTAAAAATTTATCTTAAAGCTACGTTACTCGTATCATATCATCACCTCCTCCACAAATATCCCTCCCCTAGAAAGCCCTGACCTGTGATTTTACATCACGTTGCCGACGTGAATGACTAAGCTTATAGTTAAAAATTTGGGAACAAACACATCGTCATCAATTTGAATTTGCCATGTTGATTTCATGATTTGTAGCTGCTGATCAAAGTCGCAAGTCTAGCCTTTGACTCGCCAAATATTGCGAGTGTGGTCGCAAAAATTCAAAATATCCGAGATAAACATGCTTATCTTACTAAGGCGTTGCCATAAAAAAATAAATCCGATTTATAGGCTATCGATCTCCTGCCAAAATACATAATTTTGAATTCAGGTAAACATGTTTATGTGAACTCTTTACTTGAAACACAACACCTATAATTATGTCAACTTAGAATTAATACTCATAGGACGATCATACGATCAGAGAGCTCGCGTATCATCTTTCTTTTGTTAAATAATAATAATATCACCATTTTTGAATTGACCGCCATTGCTGTATTGTTAGAGAGGAACGTCATGTAATCCCAATCAATATGATATCACATATGTTTCCATCGCTGGTAATAACATTGTAGGGTCTGTTGTTTATATTTTGGGTTGTTCGTATATATCAAGAAACTTTTTCTCGATATTTTACATCGAAAATCAACAAAAACAATGAGATAATGTTAGATGAATATCTCAGACGTCAGACACAACGACATCGCTCCAAGCACTTTGAGATGTTTATCTCGTTACACTTCTAGAGTGTACAGTATGCAATATATGCATCAAAATATCAAGATTTGGTCCACCTTTACAGATAAATAACATGCATGTTATCTTGGAAACATTAGAGCCTAAGAGTAGAAATATTGCATTCATGTTGAATAACTATGCCTTTGTCCAACTGGAGCACTAGTTGGGTATGAAATGTTGGGTTGAACGAAAATATCAACGGGAACACGACTTCCACTGTGATCTTTGTATTGTTCGCGATGTTGTTGAGCGGCCTAAAAACCACACGAAATATTTACATCTAAACAAATTCCAATGATTGGAGAAACGTGTAAAATTAAAGCTCAACTATCATGTGTTAGAAGTATTTTACAATAAGCTTTCGTTGTTTTTATCCCACTCTATAAAGATCAAAGAATATCAGATGAAAAATGTTGCTAAAATATAGGTAGAGTTGTATTCCATAATGAACTGTTGTAGTTTGTATTATAGAGCCTGTTTACTGACATAGCGCGAGTTATCCCGGCTAGGCGAGGTGAAAACTGCATATAATGAAAGACTAATCGGGTTAAGCCTCTGATGTGATGCGCCTTTTATCTCGCCTAGCCGGGATAACTCGCTGTCTCACTCCATGTAAACAGGCCCTTATCGTCTTAAAAAATGTTAAACTAGTGGTCCAGTGTAGATAGAGAAAAGGCCAAGAGAAAGTATTAATAACTTTATGTTAACGGCTCCGACAGACATACAAATAAAAAACAGTGAAGTAAACAAAAAAACAGTAAAGTACCTTATTAAAGTCTCTGATTTCTCGTTCGCGTGAGCTAGTATTCAGGAGATCAAATTTATGTTGCGGCTGCCATCGTTCCCAGGTTCTTGGGCGTGTTCCCATCACGCGACTCGGGTCGTGATCGTAATATGTCGGAAATGGTAGCTGGGCGTCACCTCCTCTTCCGTTCATACCCAGAGTACTGTCCTGCAGTTTTGTGGCGCGATATTCTGATAGCAATCTGGCTGAGGTGTTGCCGTACGTTTCGCCATATTGAAAGTTTTCCTGATGGACGTGACCAGTGTAACTGAATAAAACACGGAATAATATCACACATTATATAAAAATTCAATCTTATTTGGAGAATGAATTACTTAACTATCACTATATTATCACTCTTTATTTACTACATTAGTTCTACAGGGATAAGGAAATGTTAAAAATCTAAATTTTCCATAGTTGATTCTCCAAGTGTTACAAGAAAACAGTATCATACTACCCAGAAATTTAACTGAATAACAACCCCAGTAGTTATTTAGTTTAAACTGATCCGGGGTTGATATTATCGAGGTATTAAAATCAAAATCCAAGTCCGGAGGGACATAACCGCTAGCGGGTAGTGTCCGGGTAGACAATTTCTGCGGGGGACTATATCCGCTAGGACACCGGGATGACAACAACCCTGCCAGGAATCGATCTTATGATTTACTTATTTCCATACCTCGAAGTCATTTTACACCTCGTTTAATCTCGGATAAGCCGGATCATGTATTGAACAGACCCTTAAGCCGGATTGGCTAGAATCATAGGTCACTATGATTCAAATCTAGTCCATTTGGAACATCACGCCTCTCAGAGCAATCTCTTCTTAGAATATCTTTTAAGCCGTGTTTGAGATACTAGCATAGCTTCAAATAGATTTTCTAGTAAGCATAGTAGAAGCTAGTAAGCCTCGCTTTAAAAAGATTTTCAGCGTAGCGTAATAATAGCCCGGGCTATATCCCAGGTATTGCTGTGGTGGGATTATTACAGAAATTTAAAGATCTAGTTTAATTTATTGTTCAAAGCCAGAAAAAAATTAGATCTGCAGGTCTAAGCTTATACAACCAATGATATAATACAAAATAGGCCAATACAACCTTAATATTAGTTCTCCTAGTTTAAAATTCGTCTATATTAGTTCCAAAGCTTCTAAATGCCGTAATAGGAACCGTTAAAACCCTAACTAAACTCGGCTCATTGCCATTGGCCTGCATGTCGCTTATTGAATGAGTATCTTGTTAAACTTACCCTGGCAGATGTCTTGGATGTCTATAGATTTCTGGATTTGTCGTTACTACCGGGAGTTTGTTCTGCATTCTTCAAATGTGGCGAAGTTTGGAGCGATTTTAAGATACCTCGTTTTGTTTATAACCGGTGGAAACCCATATCAAGCCATCACCATGGATACATGAATTTATTAATTATATTGTTCAGTGATTAGGTTTCATTTCATGTCATTTCAAAGGAGGTAAAACAAAACGAAGTCCGAGTATTTATATATGTGCTTTGCATATATCAGTTCGACAATACTAGCATTTCAAGCGTTTGTAATGCATATGAGCAACAGAATTCTAACTTCGTTTGTGAATTGTGATTAATTACGGTTACAGCGGCTTCTGTGCATCGGTTCTGCTCATAACATTAGGGATCCTTGATTTGGAAATTACACAAACTTCGCATGTTTTGAATTTCCATGAACATAATGTTCACAGAACATAAACTTTATCTCTTATTCATTTAGAGATATAGTAACTGAAATCGTAATATATATTCCGACCGGACAGGATATTTTAAGAGATATTGCGATTGAATATGTTAACCCATCTTTAAACTCGACTACCCAAAATAAATGCGTTTTCGTTTTATTTCGTTCATTAGTGTTGCTGGAAAGTTCGCTATTTTTGTGAGGAAGCAGATTAAGATTAGAATTTATTGGAAATAATGAAATAAACTTGTCAAAGAAAATCATGTTCACTGTTCAAACAAGGAAGTCAACAAGTCATAAAAACTCGTCAAGTAAAATTTAATTCCATAAATAAAGCCATTTTGCAATTATCTTAATTGTGAATGCATTGCAAACCATTTCCTACGATGTGACAAAATAAAACCGAGAAATTATAACACTATTTTGACACTTGACAATTGGCCGAAAAATTTTTCGTGTTAAAATTATCGCGCAAAAATTGACTGGTTATGGTCAGAATATTAGATCAGGGGAATCCCATGATCAGTAATACATTATACATAACACGTCAAAAATCATATATCGAAAGTAAAGTATACCGTTTGTCAACAACAAATTCTACTGTAGCGAAACTTTAAAAGCCTTAAAATTTGCTAAAACCGAAAGTGTTTTCTACTTATGCTATAACGAAGGGTAAATTTTCAGGTAAGACCTAATATATCTTCTATATATCACTGTAAAGTGCATTCACACCATGTCGGTAACCGAGTATACAAAGAAATAAATATTTGTATTGTATTTGATAGAAAGCCTAAAATTTTAGTGGAGAAAAATCCGCCAGGATTTTTGAAATCCTACGGAGCTGCCTATTATGGCAAAAATTGCTCGATTCGGCAAACCGTTGAAATTACAAAAAAACTTTTAAATTTCGCAATTTGCTTTTGATGTAAGGAATGTAGTCTGTTTTTTGATGAAGTATATTACTGCATTGGCTTTAGTTGAATTGCTGCTCATATACTTTGCAAGTCAACAGACTATATAACATCCACATAATATAATTCATTTTTATTTCATTAAATTTTGACAGTACAATCCCGATGTAAAACACATAATTTAGCTTTGTTTGCATTGATCTTATAGATATGAATAGTTTTATCTGTCAACACTGTTCTCGGAGCTTTCCGTCAATCGAGAAGGCTGTTGATCACGTACATTCTCATAAACTTGCTCAGAAACCGTGTGTAGTCCCTGGATGTACCACGATCGTCCCAAACTTGACAAAACACCTCAAAATTTTGCATTCAAACGAATGCAAGTTCCCTTGTGATTTATGCAGCAGGTGTTTTGTACATTATAACTCAATGCAGCAGCATAAAAGAGACGTAGTCGACTGTACGATCAAGAAAAAAAGAAAGAAGAGACCGAAAAAGAAGAAACAAACTTCATCTATGTTTCCACCTACTCCGACTCCGAGTAAGTATGATTAGTATAAATATCGAGGTGACTACCGGTTTTCCTGCATTCTGATTGGTCAAGATACACTGTCTCTGTCTAGTCACTGGCCGGTGACCATAGCCATAGCTTTTTGTTGTTGTTTTTTAAATACAAAATTTCAGAGAAATGGCTATTCGCAATAAAAGCGAAGCCGTTGCAGCAAAAAAAGGCGAATATATAATGATGTTGATACTCAAACTTGATAGCAGAGTAATTGAAGAACTTTAAAATTTACAGCTTTTTAAGCGTGAAACATTAAATTTAAAACACAACCTAATATAAAAGTTGATTGGCGCATAAGTGTTAGGGCTTTAACTTAGATAGAGACAGATTACTGGCGATTGAACAAAAACAAAACAAGAAAAAATTTTGTCTTAAGCAAATCGGCAACTTTGTTTACATTTTAATACCAATATTTATATTTATTCTGATTGGGTTACTAAAATTGTAAACAAATTTGCAAACTTCTAATTTGCCAAGAAAAAAACTAGAGATATTTTTCCTCATGCAGTTTTATCGAAACTATTCTACTTAATAATTATGTTCTCTCTGTCAGATATCGTAGATTTTCGGAGCCCCGTCACAGCTGCAGAACTCAACAACTTTATCGCATATAATTTGCAACCAACTGAAGAATTTAAAAAAGAGATGAAGACAACGGTCGGAGAGATATGCGAGTTTCTTAAAAAACATATGAAAGCCGATCGAGTTGTAAAGGTACTTGCATACACTTTTACAGAAGATTTTGTAAAACGTGACAAAATTGTTTCAGACATCATTTGGAAGTTCGCAAATTGGTTTTAAAGTTAATAATAAAATTCGTAATTCATTTTGCATGAGTGAGACTGAAAATAGCATGCTAAGGAGTTCTAATTGATGTCCCATCGTTGCCGAGAAAAATAAGATTTCATTATCCATGCAGGGAGGATCACAGGGCAAAGGAACAGCCGTTAGAGGAAAGTGTGACATTGATCTTGTTGTGATTTTAAATGATGTGAGAGATGCAAAAGACCTCAAAACGAAGCTACCAAGTATTTCAGAGGAGATCAAAACTAATTTAAAACGATATCCAGCAGGTTTCACCATTGTTCCCGGTTCCTTGACAGACTCATCCTTCTTAGTGAAGTTTTCAGTCGAAGGCACACATAAGAATATAGATGTTGATCTTCTGCCCACGTTTAAGTGTAAAGGTACAGTGTAAAATATTTTAGTGAAATGAATTCTTAAGGAGTACGCCTAGCTTTGTCAATATTATATTAATGAAAATAATGTGTGTGATAGATTCATGAAAGCAAAAAGCAGTCAGTGAAATGAACTATAAATTTGTTTAGTATTTGGCTCTGAACATTCACATTGTCAAATATGTGCAATGTATCCGAAATAATCTTTTTGATGCATTAAACACTTGTCGTGTTGCTGGCTATTCATTCAACTATAATTGTTTTGCTTGATATTAGATTTTAAAAGTCTTTACAGCAAGATGAAAAATGACGAGGAAAACAAGGAGTATTATAGTGTGGCGTTAGCTGAAAAGAAGGTAAACTATAAATTTCCACAATATTTTCTATTCTGCACAGAGACACAGTGGAAATTTATTTTTCTCTTTGAATTTAAAGTCGTGTCATTTTTACACTAAACAAGAAATATAATCTTTTGGGGAAATCCTAGGTGAAATTTGTTCGAAGGCAACCAGCCAATGTGAAAAATTTAATTCGCTTGGTCAAATACTGGAAAAAGGAAATGGTCACGCCTGGTGGAAAAATTCCCAATTCGTACCTTATGGAACTGATTACAATACATCTTTGGAAAGAAAACAAAAGACCTAAGACATTTGATACGTTGAAGGCCTTTCGTGGAGTCATGGAAGCATTGCAGGACTACCAGTCTCTGCATGTTACTTGGACAATGAATTCGTCTGACAGTGAAAAAAAACAAGGGTAAAAAATTACGTTTTTATAATCTACAGGGTGCTAATACGTCGCTGTAATAAACCATTACTCTACCATGATGGAACATAGCTACGTTATAAATAACGATCAGTTTAATCCCTTGCCAAGAAAACTAAATCGTGGCATTTTCAATTTTTCAGACCGTTGGTAATGGACCCGGCTAACCCAATGAACAATGTGTGCAGTGGATTTGATTGGGAGGAAATTAGCAGAGCAGCAAAAGAAGTCCTAAAGAGTCTCATGATGGATGATGTTTCTTCAACCAATTGGAAATAGCAACTCATCATTTTTCACACTTTAATTTTCACGCAGAAATTTCATGAAAAATTTAAATGTTCCTAATGGCTTTTAATCTTAAGATTGAACCTGTTTTAATAAATTTAACTGTTTCGTTACTGATATCTCTGTAGGAACGCCTGCACTATTGCTTCTATAGCTGTTTAAGCAATCTCTTTGGTTTCATGTTACATCATACATCCAGTGGCGGTCAACTCGAAATCGAGACTCAGTAATCGAAAATGAGCCGTCTCAATATACCAGTTTCCGGTATAATCGACCTTATTAGGTTTGATTATACCATAATTTTAATTTCGATATATTCGAATTTTCCCAAGTTGAATACACTCCAGTATATTGGACCCTAGCAAGGTCTTGTCAATTTTAAACCAATTTACTTTCACCCAATTTATTATGTTTTATTTAAGGAACGCGGCTTGTTTGTCAGAACTTTTTTTCAAGAGGCCACGTATACATATGACCTATTGTTATTTTTCACGACCAATCTGTGAATTCACAAAAAAATCATTCATTTTCTATCTCGCAATGATGGTGACTGACTCCCAATGCTCAATGGATTTTGTCATTATAGCATCAGTATAGCAGCCTTAATTGCCATGGGTATGGACTCTTTTAATTAAGACCTAAAACAACCAATTAGGGTTGATGTTGAATGATAGTAGTATATAAGATTAATATAAGGTTTGTATACAACGTTGAAGGTTACCTTGAATGAGTCACAAGGTCGCCTACCCACTCTCTCAGAGAATACTTATGTACTGTAATTTAACATTTGTGTAACCGTAATAATTATAATTTTTTAGCATGTTTTGTGGGTTGTATGTCAATTAATAGGTCTTCAACAAATTTGGTCAAATGCATGAAATAAACTACACAAAAAGTTATGAGATATACTATCAACCTTGAAACGTCAACATCAGATGACAAGTATTGGATCCAAACAACAAAATTGGTATTAAAAATTTCTATTTATTAGCTGATGAAAGAATTGGCGCTGTGCCTGACTGAAATAAAGAAAATCACATTTACAAAGTGTTTACTCGTGTTAGCTGCTGTCTGCTGATATACCCAATACGAACAATAAAACGGTGTTTAACTAAATTGACTGAACGATTTGGTAGGTAAGTATGTTTATCTTGATACCGTTAGAACCGTAACAACACGTTTCTTACATTCTCCGGCCAGAACTGATGAAAAATTCGACTTATCTACATAACTTTGATTCGATTTTACAAATCCTGCAGGAATGCAGTTTTCAAGGAGCCAAATCCTTGTTTTCAGATTTCCACTGAAACAGCTGGCTCATATTCCTAATCAGAAATATTGGAGGACAATTTTAAAAGAGGTGAACTTATAATGTGTCTTAATACAGACGGGTTGATGCTTTGGCAGTCGATATTTGCAAATCTGAACGAAGACTGACCGGCCAAAGATAGTGAATTAGAACAATTTACTGGTTACTACATCAAGGTTTGTCATTTCCAAAAATAATTTTTTTTTTCGAAAATCCTGGTTTAATTTACAATTCGTAATTCTTTATTTACATTTTGAATCATTATACTTCTTAAAACATCAAGAACAGTTCACTCCAACTCTAGATGAATATGAGCTGAAGTTTAGCTATGTCTTTTGTTTATGTTTTTGTTTTTGAAAGAGTAAAAAACAAGCTAGATTTTATCAGTTACAAATCAAATAGCCTACTATACTGAAATGTGGCTAATTTTTTGGATGAATTGTCATGATTGATTAAGAGCCAATGATTGCCATGCACCGTCAAATGAAACACCTTAAAAAGGATTAGTTGATTTAACTATGATCTAACCGTCTTACTGGTGAACGAAACAGGAGAAAATTGATGCTTTTATTTGCATTTTTAATTGATGCTTAAGGCACGATGAAAATAAACGTTTTGATTCATTGCTGGACGTTGCTGGCAAACAATTGTAATTGTTAGCGACCGAAAAGTCAAACGCCTTTATCAGACATCGCCATTGTTATGAACAAGGCTTCCAATAAATGACCCCTAAGAGTTAACGAAATTGGCTATTAAACCTTGCTTACTTACTACATGTTTCACTACTCAAGATGAAGGCTTGGCGTGTATTGATCACTTTGGGCATCCTAATTGTGGCGTGTAGTAACAGAGGTTTTGGCTACATGTGTGGTGGTTATCGCCCTTATTATTGGGGGCGCAGAAATGTTAAATATTCGAAAAATATTTTACAGCGCCACAACTAATAGCTATGTTATACATTGCTGTTTAAAAAAAAGGTGCAATCAATTACACATAATTGAACATCGAAGTGTTGTTGAAAATTCTTGTGCGCGTCAGAACACTTGCATTTGCGTCACACTACATACTTTAGACGTCACGAATTGAACTTACTTTCGCTTTATTAACTATTGTATATATGCTGGCGTATATTATATATATAATATATATATATATATATTATATATTAATATATATATATATATATATATATATATATATATATAAATATATATATATATATATATATATATATATATATATATATATATATATATGTTTAAAAATTTGTAATCCAGGCATATTTGTTTATCAATGAATGTTCTCCGGATTTAAAATTGTTTTTTATTGAGCTTTCGACTCGGTACTTCGAGTCTTCTTCAGAATATCTAAATTATTTACATGTGTATAGCTTTATACATTTAAGTTTCGCGCTGTTCTTTAAGACTCTGTATACGTTGAGAGCGTCTGATTGGTTGTTTTGAAGTTGATCTGATATGAGTGGTAGTTGGGGGATGCGTTGTCATGGTTGACTGCATTTCGTTGTCAGGGATGGTCGCTGTGGAATGATTAGATTGTTGTGTATCAGATGCGGGTGGATTTAAGTTATTATTAGTTATATTAATGTGATTATTGATAGAGTCCTTACGTTTTGTCTTAAGTTGCAGATAAACTGCAGGAATATCAATATGTCTGTTAATAGTATTGTCGTCTGTACTAAACCAAGCTTCTTTGAATTCACGTGCGTGTTTTGTTCGTGCTCGTCCTAGTAGTTCACTGAACTCAACGTATACAGAGTCTTAAAGAACAGCGCGAAACTTAAATATATAAAGCTATACACATGTAAATAATTTAGATATTCTGAAGAAGACTCGAAGTACCGAGTCGAAAGCTCAATAAAAAACAATTTTAAATCCGGAGAACATTCATTGATAAACAATATATATATATATATATATATATATATATATATATATATATATATATATATATATATATATATATATATATATATATATATCTGTGCTTTTAAATCTCGCGCGGTCCGTACGGCCTCACGGACCGCTCGCGTAGCCAATCAGATTGCAGGAAATGCTAAAATATGAATTCGGACAGCAAGAAAAAAAATAAAAAGGAATACTTTCACTCTCCAGGGCTCTAAAATTTGTTGAAACCAGGGAGAATGACTGATGTGAACATAATCCTTTTAAGTAAGTCACAAGTCACGACTAACCTTAAATACTACTAGTTTTGTTGAAGTTTGCAGTGTGTTGAAAGATAGAGGCACAGTGCCAGAAATGTTGACGGTTTTTTACCCCCGTCACATGATACTGAATTCGCATCATCCATCGCGACATGCCTGGTGAATATAATATCACAGAATTGACATAATATACCAGATGTCTCACTGCTTGAAATTGGTCAGGCGACTATTCCAACGTTTAGTATAGTAGTGGCAAACAAAATAGATGTAAGATTATAAGAGGATAGGCAAAGTTGAAGAGGTAAATGTTGAAATTTTTGTTGAAACAATGTATATTCTACTGCACACTTAAATATCTAATGTAAACAGAACAATATCTTAAATATCACTTAAAAATTTATATTTAAGTGATATTTAAGACACGTGTCGGTACCCACAATAATCAATTAACCATCGTACATGCACCCTACATGCTCAGCCCTCAAAAATGAGCTCGTCCTGCGCTTTTGAATGTGAAGTAGACTTTCAAGTATTGAGGATATATTGAGGCCAGATTTAGGAGCCTTGCTAAAGCCATGGCGCAAAGGTCATGAAAAAATAAAACCACACTACACTACTAGAAAGTGGTCTATCCATGAGTAAACTTTGTTATATATTTAACAATACTTTGCTTGAACATTATTTGTTCAAAACTCCGACATTCATCGGTTATTTTACAACATGTACTCGCATGTACAAAACATTTGCTCGCATAATTAGATGGTCCAATATCAAATGTCCGCGCAAATAATGTAAACAAAAATAACCCGTCTATTATACGAGTGCATATTTACGAGAATTTTGAAGTTATACATTTCGTTCATGTTTCTGGTGATAGCTAATATGTGACGCAAGCGTTAGAAATCGGAGAATTTTTAACAAGATGTACAATATTCGTTGGGGAAAAATCCATATTAACATGATTATATAAGATATACGATTTCCATTTAGTGCGGAATCAGGTTGAGTGTTAAATGACGTCACAATCGTAAGATCGTTGCATCTGATAAGCGCGCGCGCGTTGTTAATTAACTGGCAAATAACTTGTTGGTCACTGCACGTGGTCTACATATGCAAAGGTCCAGGTTACACGTCGCATTTTGTTCGCATCGAATTTCTTTGCCATCAACTTTCTTTACATATGAACATTGTTCTTTTACCTGTTTAATTTGCTTTTTATAGTAAGTGTTAGAGCATGATCATGCGAGCTCTATATGGGATATAGAGTCCCGAGAAATAGATAAGCCTTAACTTCATTAGAACTTCACAAGGGATTGAATTCATTAGTGACTCTATTATAGAGTTGATAATGAATTCAAGAAATCACTCATAATTCGATAGAATTATCATGAATTTCAGACCCTATGAGATATAGAGCATGAAAATACAGGACGCTGATTGGCCGAGTGAAACGTAGCTAATTCTCTAACTGTTTTTATTCAATTCTTGCAGACTTGCTGTGTGAGGCTGTGCGTTGCTCTCAAACTGAACTTTAGTGTGACTAAAGAGTAAAAACATCCTTCAAATATCGCAAGCAACAAAATGGAATTCTCCTGTGGTGTGTGCCGCAAGTCATTTACCAATCGCTTGATTAAGAACGTCCATCAAGCAAATTGTACAGGGAAGGAGAGAGAGGAAACTGCCTCCGCTAGTGCGGTTTCCCGATGTAAGTAAACAACCAAACCCTTCGGCCTTTCCATGTATGTAAACAAACAAATCCTTGAACATACTTATAGGGGGAAATTTTTCCAACATGGTCACTATAGTACGAAGTGGGGTAAAAATACTAATGTCATAGTTTCCAAAAGTTCTTCCTATTGCCATTCCAATACCCCAAAGAGGCAGTGAAAACCATGTAAACAACTACAAGCGAACTATTCATCCTTGTAAGACTGGTGATGTATTTGTTCTGTTAGCCTGAGCGTTGCATGGTGTGTGTGTGTTGGTAAAACATGTTTACCAATTCCGGTATAAGGAGTATATTCAGAAAATAAGATCACTGAACTACTAGGACGAGCACGAACAAAACACGCACGTGAATTCAAAGAAGCTTGGTTTAGTACAGACGACAATACTATTAACAGACATATTGATATTCCTGTAGTCTATCTGCAACTTAAGACAAAACGTAAGGACTCTATCAATAATCACATTAATATAACTAATAATAACTTAAATCCACCCGCATCTGATACACAACAATCTAATCATTCCACAGCGACCATCCCTGACAACGAAATGCAGTCAACCATGACAACGCATCCCCCAACTACCACTCATATCAGATCAACTTCAAAACAACCAATCAGACGCTCTCAACGTATACAGAGTCTTAAAGAACAGCGCGAAACTTAAATATATAAAGCTATACACATGTAAATAATTTAGATATTCTGAAGAAGACTCGAAGTACCGAGTCGAAAGCTCAATAAAAAACAATTTTAAATCCGGAGAACATTCATTGATAAACAATATATATATAATATATATATATATATATATATATATATATATATATATATATATATATATATATATATATATATATCTGTGCTTTTAAATCTCGCGCGGTCCGTACGGCCTCACGGACCGCTCGCGTAGCCAATCAGATTGCAGGAAATGCTAAAATATGAATTCGGACAGCAAGAAAAAAAATAAAAAGGAATACTTTCACTCTCCAGGGCTCTAAAATTTGTTGAAACCAGGGAGAATGACTGATGTGAACATAATCCTTTTAAGTAAGTCACGAGTCACGACTAACCTTAAATACTACTAGTTTTGTTGAAGTTTGCAGTGTGTTGAAAGATAGAGGCACAGTGCCAGAAATGTTGACGGTTTTTACCCCCGTCACATGATACTGAATTCGCATCATCCATCGCGACATGCCTGGTGAATATAATATCACAGAATTGACATAATATACCAGATGTCTCACTGCTTGAAATTGGTCAGGCGACTATTCCAACGTTTAGTATAGTAGTGGCAAACAAAATAGATGTAAGATTATAAGAGGATAGGCAAAGTTGAAGAGGTAAATGTTGAAATTTTTGTTGAAACAATGTATATTCTACTGCACACTTAAATATCTAATGTAAACAGAACAATATCTTAAATATCACTTAAAAATTTATATTTAAGTGATATTTAAGACACGTGTCGGTACCCACAATAATCAATTAACCATCGTACATGCACCCTACATGCTCAGCCCTCAAAAATGAGCTCGTCCTGCGCTTTTGAATGTGAAGTAGACTTTCAAGTATTGAGGATATATTGAGGCCAGATTTAGGAGCCTTGCTAAAGCCATGGCGCAAAGGTCATGAAAAAATAAAACCACACTACTACACTACTAGAAAGTGGTCTATCCATGAGTAAACTTTGTTTATATATTTTAACAATACTTTGCTTGAACATTATTTGTTCAAAACTCCGACATTCATCGGTTATTTTACAACATGTACTCGCATGTACAAAACATTTGCTCGCATAATTAGATGGTCCAATATCAAATGTCCGCGCAAATAATGTAAACAAAAATAACCCGTCTATTATACGAGTGCATATTTACGAGAATTTTGAAGTTATACATTTCGTTCATGTTTCTGGTGATAGCTAATATGTGACGCAAGCGTTAGAAATCGGAGAATTTTTAACAAGATGTACAATATTCGTTGGGGAAAAATCCATATTAACATGATTATATAAGATATACGATTTCCATTTAGTGCGGAATCAGGTTGAGTGTTAAATGACGTCACAATCGTAAGATCGTTGCATCTGATAAGCGCGCGCGCGTTGTTAATTAACTGGCAAATAACTTGTTGGTCACTGCACGTGGTCTACATATGCAAAGGTCCAGGTTACACGTCGCATTTTGTTCGCATCGAATTTCTTTGCCATCAACTTTCTTTACATATGAACATTGTTCTTTTACCTGTTTAATTTGCTTTTTATAGTAAGTGTTAGAGCATGATCATGCGAGCTCTATATGGGATATAGAGTCCCGAGAAATAGATAAGCCTTAACTTCATTAGAACTTCACAAGGGATTGAATTCATTAGTGACTCTATTATAGAGTTGATAATGAATTCAAGAAATCACTCATAATTCGATAGAATTATCATGAATTTCAGACCCTATGAGATATAGAGCATGAAAATACAGGACGCTGATTGGCCGAGTGAAACGTAGCTAATTCTCTAACTGTTTTTATTCAATTCTTGCAGACTTGCTGTGTGAGGCTGTGCGTTGCTCTCAAACTGAACTTTAGTGTGACTAAAGAGTAAAAACATCCTTCAAATATCGCAAGCAACAAAATGGAATTCTCCTGTGGTGTGTGCCGCAAGTCATTTACCAATCGCTTGATTAAGAACGTCCATCAAGCAAATTGTACAGGGAAGGAGAGAGAGGAAACTGCCTCCGCTAGTGCGGTTTCCCGATGTAAGTAAACAACCAAACCCTTCGGCCTTTCCATGTATGTAAACAAACAAATCCTTGAACATACTTATAGGGGGAAATTTTTCCAACATGGTCACTATAGTACGAAGTGGGGTAAAAATACTAATGTCATAGTTTCCAAAAGTTCTTCCTATTGCCATTCCAATACCCCAAAGAGGCAGTGAAAACCATGTAAACAACTACAAGCGAACTATTCATCCTTGTAAGACTGGTGATGTATTTGTTCTGTTAGCCTGAGCGTTGCATGGTGTGTGTGTGTTGGTAAAACATGTTTACCAATTCCGGTATAAGGAGTATATTCAGAAAATAAGGCTTATTTTCAGAATCCAGAAACTTTTTTACTCTACCTAGTTCGTTCACCCAATCAGTTGTCATCAGTTGCAAATTTAGGCCCCCCGCGGTACAGCAAATTATTTCCTACCTCGCGCTGTAAGGCAATGTTTTAGACCGACACTGACCTCTTGAAATCAGGGTCCCCAAATGGCAATAATTCACGTACTACTTTGGACTTAGTTGAAAAAATAGTCGGCGCTGGAGCACTTGTGGCAGGCGGTTTGGCAGTCTATGGAGGTGTAAAAGAACTAAGGGAACGGAGTACAGGTAATAATAATGGAACTCCAAATTACTGCAGTATTTTGTAAATATGTTTTGAAACAAACAAACGGGCGCGAAAATCCTAAGAGGTTGTGCAAGGGAGGATGCTTAACCTTTTACCGGACGTTTTTAAACCTATCGGTTCTATGATTCCTCTCCTATGTTTAAAAAAATTTTTCAAAAATAAGTTTCCCGATAATTTAATTATTTTTTGTTCGTCAAAGAGTCATCATTAATAATATCGTCTTTCTATCACATTCATTTAAGACGTGGTAGGCTAGTTGGACCAACAACAGCCTGTGAAACAGAATAGCAACATTTGTTCGAAACATATTCTCGCTAGGAAAAACACGGTCCCTAAACTTGGTTGCCGGATTACTGAGTAAAGAAGCCAAATATTGTTGTAGTTAGCACTTTCGAAAAAAGAAAACAAAGGTTATAGCAAAAATATTTGGCTAAATTTACCCTGTCCTGGCTACCCTGTCCCTTAATACTTCATTTAAACTGTATGTAAGATGGTTCATACAATGGCAAAGGCACTAAAACGCTGCTGCAGGTAATGATAAAATTTGTTAACGCAAATTTGCTCGATACATCTCTCGGCAAAATGTCGCAGTTTCGCCCCCTGGGGCAAAATGCATGCGCACTCGTCTCTTTGACGCCATCCCTGTCGCCATGTATTTGCAATATGGTAAAATTACATCATTGCTGATTATCTGTTGTATTCGATCGTAACCGCATGTACACTTCCATCGTAACACACACAAGTTTGTTTGTTTGACCAACTAGCCCATTTCATCCATATATTTTCCTCTCTCCTACTGCATTTTCTGTAAAACGGTTCTTGGGCCAGACAACAAACTGACAACGTGATTGGTGGAAGTTTGATAGAAAGTTGTCGAGATAATACCGACGTTTGCACGTGGAACTGAGAAAATAATGAAAAATGTAGCTGAATGGAAAATACCCAACCACCGGCTTAATTTACTTAAAAATTGCATTTATTTTAGAAAAGGTCTTTATTTTTAGATACCGTAGATTTTCGCAGCCCCGTGAGTCTCAAAGATCTTAACAGATTTATTGCAGAGAAATTACAACCTACCGATGAATTTAACGCAGAAATGGGAAGATTAATTGACAAAATATGCAGGTTCCTACACCAAGAAATGAGGCCTGATAAAATTGTCAAGGTATTCCACTTCCACAAATGACCACCGAACAAATACAAACCACGTTTCGTCTACTGCGAACTAAAATTGGTATTTTCTTCAATCGACTAGGGTAATATGACAAACATAGGACACGTTATGCTCCAGGGCGCGGTTGAACACGCACAAAATGCGACCTGATAAATTTGTAGTGCGTATAAAGGAATCTGCACGACTGCACGTTTTGCGGGTTACGAACATTTTTTATTAAAGAGCGAGATTAAAAGTCTAAAATTTTGGAAAGAGAATCAAAATATTTAAGGAAATATTAAGGATTTATTTTCTTTCTTGCGATCCGAATTCATATTTCAGCGTTTCCTGCAATTTGATTGGCTACGCGAGCGGTCCGTATGAGGCCGTACGGACCGCGCAAGATTTAAAAACACGCACGCACGGGGGGCGGTAATTAAAGAAAACAAATCTATTATTTACCAGTTTAGTCGGTCCATATAGGGAAATATTTCCCTCGGTCTCAAGGTTGACCTGCAATCTCGTGAATAACATATATGGATTAAAAAACATTTCTATTTGTATCCAGTGAACAATGACCGTACAGAAAAGACAAAATCACACCCGGGCTATTTCTTATCTGTGAAGATGATTCACGACAAAAGGAAACCGGGCTTAATGAAGCAGCTGTCCCATCACGTTTCATGCTCGACATTCTCAATTCAGATTGGGTGAAAAAAAAGGTGATTTATTGCATTATCTAGGGAGGATCGCTAGGGAAAGGGACGGCTGTCAAAGGGAATTGCGACATTGATCTTGTCATGGTTTTGAATGAAGTGGAAGATGCAGAAGAACTGAGGAAAAAGCTACCAACGATTATAAACGACGTTATAGGAAAGTTGAGAAGAAATAGAGCAGAACTCGCTATAATTCGTAACTCTCTAACCAACGCAAGATTCTTAGTGAAATTTTCAGTTCAGGGAGAACATGGGAAAATTGATGTTGACCTCTTACCCACGTTTAAAGTTACAGGTATAAAATAATAGTACTACTCAATCTTGTTTTATTTCATACATTGATGAATATAATAATTTATCGAAATTCTCAAGAAATGAGCACCATTGTACTCTCCAATAAAACAAACAACAAACATTTTACTTCATACATTCTTAGATCTGCGAAGTCTGTATCGGAAAATGAAAATTGACACGCGCAACAAGGAGTATTATTGCGTGGCGTTAGCTAAACAGAAGGTACGCTATATTTCATGCGGATGTTTCTGCTCATTTCATCTCTAGTGGTTCAAGAAATAGCCTCTTGAAAATTCCTAGGTGGACTTTGTTGAATATCGTCAACCTAATGTAAAAAGTTTAATTCGTCTTGTCAAATACTGGAAAAAGAAAATGGTTCGGGAATTTTCGTCTGGTCGACGGATCCCAAATTCATACCTTATGGAATTAATTACAATACATCTTTGGGAGGAAAATACGACTGGAGATGGCAGGTTTAATACGTTGAAAGCTTTTCATGGAATTATGAAAACTTTGGATGAATATCAATCTCTGAATGTTATTTGGATGGAGAATTATCATGTAAACGACATACCATTTCAAGTTCAATGCACACGGTAAAATTCCACATAGTCTAAAGTCAAATACGGACAGTGGCGTAGCCAGCCTGAAGATTTTGTCCCGCTATGTAAATTTTGAGTTATCAAAATTATTCATGTCTTCAGAAATTCATTGTTTTCACGGTCAATGAACACCAAAACATCAGCATAGCGGACAAATCGTCGGGCTGACTACGTTACTGAATACGCACATGCGCTTTCTGCTGCGAATTTCGGTGCGAATATTTTCTGTATTTTCTTATTAAGGGCTGTTCACACGAGCCCGGTAACCGAGATTTAACGAGTCGTAAGACAATTTTGAAGTATTAAATATGTTTTTTTGAAACCAAACAATCACATTTTGAAACAGCAACAATCATAGCAACTTCGTAAAAAGTAAACATGGAAAAAACTATATTTTCCCTAGAACATTTTTGCAATCAAACTGAAAAGTTTTCTATTTTTAGTATGTTATTTTAATTGTTAACAGTTTTTACCAGACGTATATCACAGCTAGGTGATCGGTACAGAATTACTGTATGAGGCAGACGGTTGTTGCCCCCAATTGTTCTTCAAGACTGATGTATTTGGACAAATAGATTTGGCAGACTTAGGGAAAATAGAATACGAACTTTGATACCGGCATCAAAACTTCTCAAGGTCGCAAAATTCTGGCATTTTCGGGTAAAACCCTTCGGCAGCAGTTGTCTGTTTTGTTCTCATAGAATTACGCGATAGTTTGGATTCAAAGGACAACTATTTATATCCGAATGGACATGGTGTGATCAATCAATCGCTTTCATTACAAAAAACCTGTATCATATAATATTTCCAATTTTCAGGCCGTTGGTAATGGACCCAGCTAATCCAATGGACAACGTGTGCGAGCCATTCGTTTGGGAAGAAATCCGCCGCGCAGCGAGAGAAGTCCTTGAAAGTCCAATGATGTATGGCGTTTCCTCGGACAGTTGGATTTAAGAAACTCAGATTTGCCGATCATCTTTTTATTTTTCTCGCATGAATTACATCTAAGGCTTAGTTTATTCATCGCCTTTTAGCGCGTCGAATTAGTACACATTGGAATTTTTTTTTTTACGTTTTGGGATTTGAAAATACGTTTTCACGTTACAGTATTATAAAAAGATAAGAGCACGTGCACAAATCGAATTGAAATTAATTAGCCAGCATTTTATTATATATCACAAGGTATATGTCACGAAAAAAGCAGTCACGAAAGTCAACAAGTAAATACGTCAGGCAAGTTGGGCAACGACTTGACGATATTTTAAGTGATAAAAACAAAAAAATCGCATATATCCACGCATCTTCCGCATTTAAAAGCATTTTTCTCTGCCATCTCTTTGTAGGTTTTATTTCCTTGCACATTTCATTTCAATAAGCAGATAAGCAGATTTCTGCAATAAGCAGATTTTCTTTCTTCGGGAAAAATCCTTGCAAGTGGAAGCACTGCCATACATAGTATGACATGCAACATGATTGTGACAAAAACCGGTAGCATATGTCAAAAGCAGTTCACTGGTCAAAAGTAAAAAGTCAATATATTAATTTATGTACTTTGAACGGATCTCAGAAGCTACGAAAGGCTCTAAAATTTGTTTAAACCCATTCGGATTGACTGAGAAGAAGATAATCGCTTCAGGTAAGTCATGTTATATCACCGTAGAATCAGAGTACAGGCGTTTTTGAAAGAAGATGATCGATTTAAGGGCCACGTCCATATTCATGTTGCCACACAAAACGTTGAATCGACGTTATAGGTGGATGGGTGGGTTTTTACGTCGAGCTCTCGACGTTATCGTGTGGCAACAAAATACAATATTTGAGAAAGATTAAAAGAATACTGACGTGGAACTCATTTCAGTTTTTCAATCGATCTGCTGCAAAATATAGTGTCGTCGTCATGAATTACTACAACCGCCTGTATATTGTCATTACACACAATGTTTTAAAATATTAACTGATATTTATAATGGCGTGATCAATTTGCTAGTCGAATACGAAACATTAAAATATGACTGCCACGGTCGACGTTATTTGAGCTGCGTTGGTAGGTACAGACGATAACGTCGATTCGACGTCTTGCGTGGCAACATGAATATGGACGTGGCCCCTTAGTGCAAGTGCAGTGTGCCAAGAACAATGTTGAATGTTGTTTAATATTGTAGGCAATTTTCGCACAGCAAATGCACACACTCTGAACGAAAACCTAGGCCGGTCTCGCAGTCTGTATAATTATTGTAATTGATAATGATGACCCAAATATCTGAGAATCGATCAGGCCTTTGTCTTTGAGACAAACAATCTAGATGTCAATAATAAATTCCAGGAAAATTAATTCCATCCATGTCTGCTGACTTGAAATGTCTTCTGGTTTCTCCTGGCCGCAAAAGAAGGCTAGTGCATGTATAGATAGATAAAAAAGAGTAAATATCAATGGCAGTTATATAATTAATGTTGTTCGTTGTCTCTAGTCTGTAATTATTAAGTACGACAGTTCAATACGGTATGATTTGCATTATATACTTGATTTAAAGTTAAATAGTGCAAATTTTATATTAATTGTGATGGGAACATGTATTATTCAAATCGTTTAGTTATACGCCAGACTCTATAATACTTATATTATTTTATAATAGAAATTATATTTAGCGAGAAATTAAAGACTCTTTAACGCTTGTGTTGACTATGCAATATAGCAAGCTAAATTCTCTTCTCGCCTTTCCTAATATGGACAGCTTAGTTTAAAATGGTTTTGATCAGACGCCAGTTCGTATTGTCGACGTCATGCATATCATTATCAAGGTTGTTGATGTCGTAGAATATTGCTTTAACTTTAAGTGTCTGCATGACAATTTGAATACAGTAAATAGGAAAAAAATTGCTGCAGAGAGATTTTCTAAAACTTTATTTACCAATCTATTATGTTCAGCTATTGAAATTTATTAATTCAATCAACAAATCTAGGAAAAGGCGAAAAGCCAGAATTTGCCGTTAACGCATCGCGGAAAGTATCATTATCAACAAAGCGTCGAGCCTGAACGCGGGAAAATAGACACAAATTTATTTGGTGAAGAGCAATATGAATTACTTACAAAATACAGCACAAAGTTCAAAACCAAGTCCCGCGCGGACAAAGTCAACGTGGCGAAAACAGCCTGTACTACATCGTGTTACAATAGAGAGATAAAATCTAATTCTTTAATTTGGAGATAAGGTTTAATAAACTAATTTTCACCTTCAAATACAAGCCCTTCGCTTTTGTTGCAATCTCGCAACATATGTTAAATTGCCGGTGCTCATGAGCTCGTTATGACTTAACAGGTTGTTACATTATATTTGATAATGAAATGTACTTGTACTTTCATGCATGGCCATAGGATTATGTCACAGGCTCGAAAAAATTGTTGAAGCCAAAGAATCGACTAATAAGAGGATAATTCTTTCAGGTAAGTCCTGATACATCACTGTAGAGTCAGAGTGAAAGTTTCTATGAAGAAAGTTTCTATGGTAGCCATTTTTTACACATCTGGAGTTTTCGATACCCAAATTTCGAGTAAAACCTGCAAGGTTCAGTGGTTCACACTGTTAACAACAAGATATATTCAGCTAACCGCTTCCGTCCCAAAACTAACGCAGGGATGCCATATAGCTATTGTGTATAAGTGCAACATACCAGAGCATGTATGCCAACACGGAAAAAGTTAAATATAGACATTACTTTCAAAAGTTTTAAAAAAATTCAAAGAAATTAGACGTGAATATCAAGACAATAATTCAATAATATTATGGGGCTATGAAGCATGTTTTGCTTTGATATTATTCAAGAAGTGCTAGAAAGACGTAGCTTACGTCGTAGCCTCTGAACCCGCAGTTAAGACGTACTCTAGCAAGACGTCGACGCCATTTATCTCAATTCTACAATAAATATTAGCTAGACTCGCGCATGCGTAGTTAATTTCTTAGCCACTTGAAAACATGCTGCAGTCGTTCAGCCGATACAATCACGGTGATCTTGAACCACAGTGAAAGGAATATGCCTCAAAAACATCCATTCTTACAACGTGTCTAAGATTTTTATGCAACCGTCTGACCTGGGTTCAGCGTTTTGATTGGCTAGAAAGTTGAGTAACATGTCAATAGGCAGGCTAGAGAATGTACAAAATGCGACATGCGTTGTGTAACAACCTTAAAATTATCATTTCCGACTTTAGCGCAGTTAGTTTCCTTTATGCATTATGTTCTTTATGCTGACTTTAAGAGATATCCACATTGTTCTTTCAGTTAACAGAGTTGCAGTGTCGCGCTGTTCGTTGATTTGAAACCGAGCTAAAGTGGGACAAGAGATATTCTCCAAACATCACATTCAAAAAGATGCAATACCCTTGTGATGTATGCGGCGAGTTATTTGCCAATCGCTTGTTGTTGGATCATCATAAAAAAAATTGTACGAAGCCGAAAAACGAGGACGAAAGCTCTCCATGTAAGCATGCGCAAACAACTAGTGCCTTTACAATTACGAAAATTTAATCCAACATGGCCATTATCATAGACATTCATAGCATAAAAAGAGGGAGATTACCAATAGCGTTATGATCGACTATTCGCCGAAGACGAAGTCCAGGTTTTTATTAATGCAGCGATATTCACCGAGCCTGCCGTGGTTAATAATTGTTTTACTATAACTACATAAGAAAACGAATGTGACGTAGAAAATACATGTTAACGAAACTAGTTAACAAACCTAGACAAATTTTTCGAGAGTTTTAGGGCGATTCAAATAAAACGATGTTTTCTCATTTAGAATAGTTAAAAAGGAGTTTTACAACGTACTTTTACCTCTAAGTAATTTAGGTCCTATTTTTCACGTTTTTTACTTTTATAGGTACAGTATTTTCATTAGAATAATTTATTTCTTCATCTGTCACTTTGACAAAAACAACTCGCAGCCATTTTGAGAATCCGCTCAGATGATTTTTACGTAATAATCCGAGGTCGCTCGACCAATCAGAGACCAGTGTTTTCAATAATCGCATTTGTAATTATACTAATTATATCTATAATGGACCTACTGCACAATAGACTAACTTGTGATGTAGGTAACAAGAAGAATAAAGGAAATAAATCCCGTACTACATCTAAAAAGAGCATACGGAAATTAGTATAACTGCCGAGTTTGACTGCAAAATGGCAAACAGTACGGAAAACATAGCCATTATTCTGTTTAAAAGTTCGTTTTTTTAGTTTTTACTGCCAAATTATCCTCCTGTGAGGACAGCTACAACTTACGAAATCCCTGTAACAATATTCTTGTGCCTTCAATTTATACCGATGTTGGCAAAGAGCTATAGATATATCAGTTGAAATATATTTCTTTTAATAAAGTCAAGTCACTCTTCAAGGGACTGGTCGCAGGAGCAATTGTAGTAGGCGGTATTGTATACACGGCAGTAAAAGTAGCCGAGGCAATTGAAAAACGGAATTCAGGTAATTATAATATTTTTCATGTTTCGTTGATATGTATATTTCTCATGTAGGGGGAGTGGTTATCACTCCACACCGGCAATTGATATCCTTGCAAGGTCGGTTGAAAGATGTAATTAAAAAAAAGATATATTTCGCGCTTTAAAATTTAAGTTCGTGCAAAGGTATCTTTATAAATAATATCGACCCTCCATGCAATCACATTCGGGTTAGCTGCCACATATTTAGACTGTTGAATGAACAAAATATAAATAAATGAAATTAAACATTAACATTCTGTTAAATACGAGGAAATAGTATGACATCGCTAAGGAAAGTGCGTAGTTATCATCTTAGATAACTAAATTTGACTAAACTAGAATTTAAAATCTCCGATTTTTTCATAGAGAGAGATTCTGCTTCAACTTCGGGCATTCAGAGCTACAGGGGTATAGAACCTAAGGGCAGACTGGAACTTGAGGGCAAACGGGAATACAGCCCGCCAAGACTGGGCGGAATTGGTATACGTAAGTTTTGTATTATTTAGCAAGAGTCGGGGGGAGGATTTTTTCAAAGGAGTGCAAATAATCCCATTTCCGAGAGACTGAATTTTAAAATGTCCACGGAAATGTCCACGCCAACATGTTTAGCTTTGAGCCCGTAAGGAGAGTTTTTCCACGTAGCTAATTTTGAGTGATTTTGTATACAATTTTCTATTTCTTAAATGTTAGACATCTTACCCACATCTCTTCTTCATTTTTTCCTAGGAAACAGTGTAGTAGAAGGAAATTTTTTAGAAAGCAGTCAGAAATGAGTGATGAAAAATTTAAATGCATATGATGTCCAACCATTCTTGCTTGATTAACAATTAACAATTTGGCTATATTATTTTTTTAGATCACCTAGACTTTCGCAGCCCGGTAACAGAAACAGAACTTAACACATTTATTGATTACCATTTACAACCGACTAAAGAATTTAACAATGCGATACAGTCAACCGTTGGCAATATATGCTTCTTTTTACAGCAACATATGAAACCTGATGAAATTATTAAGGTAGTTTGTCAAGTCTTGTCTCTTCGAAGACACCAAAGACACCAAAAATAAAACCAAAAATGCAAAACAAAAGCCAGAACCTCAGAAACACTGACTTCTTCACTTCTGATAACTTCAGCCTTTTAAAGGGTTATGGCAATGAAAATTATTTTTGTTTTGTTGAAAAGAAAATTTACACTCCTTATAAAGCCTTTTAACAAAATTTGTTTATCTGCTTTACTTTGCAAGATATTAGCGATCAAAAACATCGGCTATCGAGATATATCCGCCATCTTTTTTTAATTTTCGTGTATTTCTATTACAGATATACGCAAAAAAGTTTTATATTTTTTAAATTGTGTGTAGAAGATAAGGAATTTCGCGTTATTGAATCTTTAAGAAGCCATAGCACTCTGCCAAAGAAATATCTCCGTGTATTTGATTTGTAGAAAGATTAAAAAATTAGTTATAATATATTCGATAGAATATCAATATAGACTGATTCGAGTTTTGAGTCATTTCATAATGTAAGTTTAGGTCAGTTTAGCTCAGAAAATTATGTACTTGGTTTGAAATAGCTGCATGGGGCCGGGGTTGCTGCTTGCATGTATTTCTAGGTATTATTTTTATTTATTGCATATATTACCTAGGGAGGATCACAGGGAAAGAGGACAGCCGTCAAAGGAATGTGTGACATTGATCTTGTGATGGTTTTGAATGAACTGGAAGATGCAGAAAATCTCGAAAATGAACTACCAAGAATTAGAAAAGACATTAGAAGCAAATTGACACGATATGGAGGACCAACTCTAAAGGCAAAGGACTCCAAATCTGGATTAAAGTTCAAAGTCAACGGAGATCACGGACCAATTAAGGTCGACCTCTTGCCCACGTTTGGATTTACAGGTATAAAATTTAATATTACCCTATCCATTATTTTGGTTAATTTTGTATAATATAATCAATATAAATTTTAAAGAAATTAGCATCATCACATCAGAACAAAATCTATTTTTATCACGCACGTTCATTTCATGAAGGTGCTTGGTTCTCGATTAAAAACGATGTAACGTACATTGAACTATTGATTTTGGTTTGTTCATTCGAGGTTCTGCCGAATGGAATAATTAGCTGTAGATCTGCCATTATAACGGAGTTGTAATGTATTACAACTAAACTACATTCACTTCGTGAGATATCATACAATTGCACGAAATAGGTGGCTACAACAACGATTTGAAGTGAACAGTAGTGAGCCTTCTTTTATAAAAAACCCACAATTGTTGTACAAAGTTTAGCAAACGATTTTGCTTGCTTTCTTTTTAGATCTGCAAACTCTTTACTGTGAAATGAGATTCGACAAGAGCCACAGTGATTTTTATAGAGCGGCATTATCTAAGTGGCAGGTATATACTAGTGAAACACATCATTCAACTAAAATATTGTACTATTTTGCACTGTTTAAAAATTGCAATGATTTTTAAACAATTCTTCATATTTCATGTGAAAGTTTTTATTTTATGTTTCTGCTTATGTCAGCTATTGTGGACAAAAATGTACTTTTTTTAAAATCTCATTTTTTAAAGGTGGACTTTGTTAAGAAGTATCCAGCCAATGTGAAAAATTTAATTCGTCTGATCAAATACTGGAAAAAGAAAATGGTTCGGAAATCCTGGTATGGTCAACGAATCCCAAACTCCTACCTTATGGAACTGATTACAATATATTACTGGGAAGAAAACACAAGATATAGTGATGGCACATTTAACACATTGAAAGCGTTCCATGGGATCATGGAAGCATTGAAAGACTACCAATCTCTAAATATTTTCTGGACAGAGAACTATTCTGCCAAAGACATACCTTCGCAAATTCTACGTCAACGGTAAGTCAAGTACCCCCAAAATGGCGCATAGCTATAAATATACAATAGACCGACTAATTTTTTTTCAGTCATGCATAATTCAACAAATCTGTTTCATGAACAAAAAGCTACTTTTTTGTCATCTTCACCCCTACATATTTTTCTCGTATTTTGATGATTTGTTTTGTACCTTGGAAACTGCACTTTCGAAAGGTGTTTTAATTTTTTCTTCATTTAGCGTCCCCTGCAGGCATCTCTAATGTATTAAAATGATATATTAAAACTTATAACCGGGCTTTTATAAACGGGCTTTGATAAAATTACGTCTTAATATTTTCAGACCATTGGTACTTGACCCAGCTAATCCAACAAACAACGTGTGCAGCGGATATCACTGGGAGGAAATCAGACAAGAAGCAAAAAACGTCCTTAAAAGCGCTATGATGGAAGGAGTTTCTTCGTTTAGTTGGAAATAAACCCATAATTATTCGCCATTTTTATCTTTTTCATTCATTCCTGACAGGGGCGTAACTAGTAGGATAATAATGGTGTTAATATATGCAGTTCAGCCCGACGGATTTCGATTGTAAGCTATATATTGCACTTACAAAAGAAATCCACTGATTACTGGCTCTAGAAAGTAATTAGTCAAACGGAAGACTATCAATAACAAAGACGGGCATATATAGTCTACACAGTACAGGTCATAATTAGATTTTTCCATAAATGAGAATGACTGCTGAAGAAAATGTAACAAACACAAGTTCCATGATTTAGTTGTCGGGTTAACGACAGGGAAACGAACCGAGGAGTAGGGTGAAATAAAAAATAATAGAAACTTGTAAAAAGTAAACATTTTGAAAAACATATTTTTTTACGTTTCTATTAAACTAACTATAGTCATTATCAAGAAGAAGAACGATGAAATAATTTATAAATAAAAAACGAGTCGCGTGCCTTTATAATGCAATAATACACGATGGGAGAAGTAGATGGGCGTACCCGAGTGTTACAAATTTCTCGAATATTCTTCTAACATTTCCTCGAGTGCATTATGACACCATAAAGGCACGAGACGAACTTTTTTAATTCTTCTATGATATACGAAAAATTATACGGGAGATGCGTCCAAATCAAATTCCATGCAAAATAGAACTTTTTGATACACCGCTATGACCAAAATATCCCTTCAAATATACATTTTACTCTATGGGACGGTCTACAGTATTATACGGCTTAGACTCTTATTTGCAATGTATATAAAAAATAAAGCAAACAAGCAATTTTTGTCTAATTAGTACAAACAGGTAATCAATCAGGTTATTATACGGTAACTACATTTGTTGCGTGTTTCCACTTAATAATGACGCAAAATAAAAGCTGCATGGCATTTCATTGTATATCACAAAGTATATATCACGAAAAAAGCAGTCACAATTCAAAAAGTCAAGAAGCAAATACGTAGAGCAAGTTAGGCAACGATTTAGTGTCGCCGATACTTTTAGCGATCACGGTCGAAAATGTTACAAATGGTATGTTCTATTTTATAGTATTTATGCATGAAAACAAAAAATCAAACATATCGATGTATCCTCCTTATTTTAAAGCATTCCCCCCCTCTGCCATTTCTTTCTAGGTTTATTTACTGCCTGCGTATGTGCAGCGGAGTCTTAAAATGCCATGGTCTTTTTTCCTTTTCGTCGTCGTAGTTTTGGGCGACAGAAGTTAGCATTTCTACAGGGAACCCAAAACAACTTCATTTTTGACCGAGAAGCCCTGGGTTACATGGTCCACGGATGAATTATGTACATCAGTTGGCATACAGCCGGAGTGAACGCCTTGAGAAGGCGTCTTGTTTCCTACATAAATATGCAGATTTCCTTTTTTCGGTAAAACTCCTTGCAAGTGGAAGCACTTCCATAATGCGGTATGGGTATTGCATGCAAGTATATTGATGTATTTTGAACGACTCTACTCCAGTGCTGCGAAAGACTGCAGAATTTGTTTATACCACTTGGATTGACTGATAAGAAAATAATCGATTCGTGTAAGTCATGATATATCACCGTAGTCCATAGAATCTAAGTACAGGCGTTTTTGAAAGACGAAGGGCTGTTCAGTGCAGTGCCAATGACAATGAGTCAATATTGTTTATTGTAGGCAATTTTCGTACAGCAAATGAAAATTTCGTCCATTCAAGGTTTACAATAATATTCACAAAGTTAATTAAAGCAATTTCGTCTTAGTTAAATGCGCACACTTTATGAAAACCAAGATCGGTCTCACATTAATTTATACTGATATTTGTAATTGATCACCTATATATCTGAGAATCTGTCGGGTCTTTGAGACATATTAAATATCTGGATGTCATATGAGTAAAAAAAATCCTATTTGTTTCTGCTGACTTTAAATAACTTTTTCGTTTTCTCCTGGACGCGAAAAAAGGCTAGTGTAGGTGATAAAGAGTGTAAAACGATTTTTATATATTAACGGCAATATAGTATTGTTTATTGTCTTTTGTCGGCCGTAAGGTCAACACTGTAAAACATACTAATCGTATAGTTTGATCTAAATAGTGTCAACCTTACATGGACAAGAACTATTACTAAACAAATCACTCACTTATAGTTATATACGGCAAACTCGATTAGGAATAAAGCGAGAAATTAAAGATTATTTTAATGCTTGTGTTGAATATTTATGCGAAATTCAAGAAGCTGATGTGAATAGAATTATTATAATGCCAAATTCCTTCGGTTTTCCAAATATGGATTAGCTTATTAGTTAGATTCCTAGCTTAATATGGTTTTGATATGTCGCCATCTACATCGTGTTGCGCCCGATTTATACTAGAGACGGATTACTCCGTTTGAGAGATCATTCGTCTGAGAATAAGACGACTGCGCCGCGCGTTTTAAATATGACAAGACGCCCGGTAGGCGTTAACTCGGGCTATGTAGCCGGTAAATACACTGCACTGAAACTGAGCTATATTGGTACACTGTAAATACGCGACTGTCCGCGCGGAAGACTAAGCCTGCGACACAAAAAAAAAATAATAATCGCGAAACCTAGACTCGGCTACCACAGGTAGCCCGAGTAATAAAACGCTCCTTCTCGTGTTTTAAATACTATTTACTGCGATTTCCAGTTGAGCGTGGAATTGCGAAAGTTTGTTCGTTTGTAGTTTCAAAGCAATGTTTGTGACGTCATCTAATAATGTTGCCAGGGGACGCTGACCAAGTTTTCAAGGAAAAACGGCTATAAATAGACACTGTAAAAATAGCGGCTATTAGTCGCTATATAGTGGTCGCTATACAGATCTTCTATTTACAGTCGCAAACTCGCCAGTTTCCCTTGACAACTTGGTGAGCGTCGCCTAACAACATTATTAGATGACGTCACAAACATTGCTCTCAAACTACAAAACTTAACAAACAAACTTTGGCAATTCCACGCTTAACTGGAAATCGCAGTAATCAGTATTATTTTATACATACACTATACGCACATTATTGTGAGTATGGATGAATAAAATTGGATAAAATAAGGAATGTGTACTTTTGCGTGATTTGGCCCCTAAGAATTAGTTAATAAACTTGACTTCAGTTCACGAAAGTTTGCCTTAACTAGCGCATGCGCAAATTTTCTACCACCTGTAACAAACTGTTTCAGCTAGAACAATGTACCACATGTTCTTTTCTAGGTGCTTCTCTAAACTTTTCCCCGTACTGTACCTTGCTCCTGAGCTAAAAAGCTGCCTCAATCTATACCAATCTCAATCTATACCAACCGAAGATATCAAATCCACGAAAATGCTGTTCCCCTGTTCTGTTTGCGGTGAGTTATTCGCCGAACGCTATCTCGAGCAGCATAAAGAGAATGTACAACAGAAATTTTTAACGCAAGGAGTGGATCTGCTTCCGCTAGTGCGCTTTCTTCACGTAAGTAAACAACCACCGGCCACTTTTGTTCTCTACATGCTGTTTTTGGCTGGTCCCACAGAAAACCTTCTTGGATCCATAACAATAGAAACATTTTTACTATTTATCATAGTCAATAACAATTGTCATATTCACTTTCTGCTAATGCCTTATTGTATATTGCAACAGTTTACTTGTTACTTTGAACCACAGCTGATGCTTTCGGAAGCTAGCTGACTTTTTGAAATATTTTTTATTGCGTTGTAAGGGTCTGCAAATAGCCACAGTTCACATGCCACTTGGGACATCGACTCGTTCTTCAAGAAAGTTGAGACAGGAGTACGTGTAATAGGCGCAGTATGCGAGGTTGTTGCAGCAGCATGTGATGCAGGTTTAGCAATAGCCGAAGCTTTTGAAACTTTTGAAACAGAAATACTAAATGCAGGTAATAAGAATGTGCATATTTTTTAATTATAAGAGCTTTGCAAAAGCTAACTTCACTTACTTAAGAATTTGGGATTCAGGCAGGATAATAGATTAATTTTATCAAAGCACATTTACCTGTATCAAAAAGGCCCTTTACTTTTTAATAAATCGCCTGCTTTCCCTATCTTCTTATTTTTAGATGCCGTAGATTTTTGCAGCCAGGTAACAGTCAAAGAACTCAACAGCTTCATCGCAAATAAATTGCAACCAACTGAAGAATTCAAACGGGAAATGGCGACAATCGTTGACGATTTATGCGAATTCCTACGAAGACAAATGAGACCCAGCCAAATCATAAAGGTTGCTTAGTGCATTTTTAAAAATCTATGGTCTTTCCGATCGAATAAAGTAAGAGGAATGAACATACTACATAGGATATGTCAAACCCAAAGCTCGTGTCATACAATGTTATTCCACCCCACGGGAAATGCGCGCATTCTAATATTTCTGGAAGACTTTGAAGAACTTGTTAATATGTACTATAGGAAGAAATTTCTGCGCATTTTGAACTTATGAAAGCGCTCTGCACATAAAAATCCTTCCGTCGTCACATTAACGAGAGGGATTTCGTTTTGTACTAATTAAATATCGAAATTTTTTATACTTCATGTAAAATGGTAAATAAAACAGTGTACTTTTCCCCGGAAATAGTAAAATTTGATGCATTCTGATTGGGTTACTGTAAATGTAAAAAATGTTATGTTAATTCTCAGCGACTGTTTACATGAGCCTGGTTAATCGAGGGTTAATCCTGAAACGAAACTGGAGATGTTTTTGAGTATTTTATAAGTACGTATATAACATGATTCTGTTAGTGATGTAAAGTTTCTGACAATAGCATGATTTTGTTTGGTTTCATATATAAAGACTTATTTCAATACCTCAGAATCGTCTTACGCTTCGCCGAATCTTGGGTGATTGGACTCATGTAAGCAGTCCCTTACCTGCTTGTTTGTCACATTATAACTCAACTCTGTCGCGCAGGGGCCGGTTGTTCGAAAGGCGTTTAGCTTAAACGCGGTGGATAAGTTAAAAATAGAAAACCAAATGATCTATTTATTGAACAACTGAGCTGAAATATTTCGATGTAAAAGGTTTAATTGTCAATGGAAGTACATATTAAATGCGTAAGATGCAATTTCAGTCATTTACAAGACCTATGAGAGTATTTTTAAACTTTGGCTTATCCACCGTTTAAGCTAAACGCCTTTCGAACAAGCGGCCCCAGTCCAACAACGTCCTTATTTCGGATTGGACTGAAAATGAGCTCCACTGCGTTATCTAGGGAGGATCACTTGGCAAAGGGACATCGGTTAGAGGAAGGTGCGACATGGATCTTGTTATGATTCTCAATGGAGTGCATGATGCAGAAGATCTTAGAAGGCAACTACCGGCAATTAAAGGTCAGATCAAAGACACGTTGGGACGATATTCAGGAAATATCACCATTGTTCCAGATTCCCTTACAGACAAAAGATTTCATGTGAAGTTTTCAGTCGAAAGCAGACTTGGAGAAATTGATGTTGACCTCTTGCCCACGTTTAAGTATGAAGGTGCAAAGTGCAATGTTTTTGTGATTTTTATCAGCAGTCAATGTAGTTTTGCGTTTTAAATTGTCGAATACGGTATAAGAAATCTATTATAACAAGTAAGCACCATTTTATTTATTAATGTTGGATAATTTTAAACACTACCCATCGCGAATGCTGTGGTAAGTATAAATGTGATAAACTATCTTAACAAACCGTTTTTTTTAATGCGATCTTATAGATCTGCACAATCATTACAGAAATTTGACAAATGACGAAGCGGAAAACATTGCTTTTTACAGTGTGTCGTTGGTCGAACGGAGGGTAAAGTATCTAATGCAATATTATATATGCAGTATGTATCTATGTTAACATACCAAATAACTATCTTAATTTTGTGTGTGCACACAAGGAAATCAGCACATGTTTTCGGTCTAGTTTTAGCTGTGGAAGTTTCATTTTTATTCATGCTGGACCACATTGCTTTTTACAGCGTGTTGTCGTTAGTCGAACGGAGGCTACAGTATATCTAATGCAATATATATGCAGTTTAATTGAAACTATAAAGTTTTATGGCTTTTCTCTTTGTGAAAGCAAAAAAATAAGCTATATATGCTTTTTTGAAACTTCTAGGTGAATTTTGTCAAAGACCGTCGACCCAATGTGAAAAATTTGATTCGTTTGGTCAAATACTGGAAAAAGGAAATGGTTCGTTCTGACAAAAGAATCCCGAATTCGTACCTCATGGAACTGATCACGATACATCTTTGGGAGAAAAACGGAAGTTGTGACGTATTTAATATGTTGAAGGCGTTCCACAGTGTCATGAAAGCATTGGAGAACTACTCACGTCTAAATGTTTTTTGGACAACTAATTATTTTGAAAGTGAAATACCATACGAAGTTCTATGCGAAAGGTAAATCTTAATGTAAATAGATTAAAGAAAGGAAATGAGATTTTTCATGGCGAAAGAAAGGTTAATGAATTGTATAAAACTCTTCAACTATACATTTTTTATATTAAAAGCCAATTCTGTCCTTAACTACCGTTAAAAGTTAACTACCTTTTACACAACTGGGGCCGGTTGTTTAACACTTTTAACTACACATTTTGCATAGTTGAATCCTAGTTAACTCAGAAATACACAACTCTGATTGGCCAATTCTGTACCTACAGTTAAAAGTTAACTATAGTCTTTTATACAACTGGGCCCAGATCCCAGGTTAGGTTCTGAAAAGACTTATTTTTGCTTTTACACAAAACATATACCGTTTTAAGCGTCATAAATAAGTCACGATTTATATTGCTTTATTATTATTCATAGCTATCATTTATCCATAAACTTTGGTTCAATTTTTATCCGTTATTTTCCTCTGTTGCCCCGCTCCGCCAGCTAAGTCTCTTATTTTCCATTCATCAAGTTTTACAACTTCATTTCTAAGTTTTAAGTGAAAAACGTTTTCATTTCTGTGTGGCTTGCAACAAATCCAGCAGGAAATTCAGCAGGAAAAAATCCGAAGTCTCATTTTTTGTGTAGTTCGTTAGTGTTCTTATACTCTTTCGAAATCAAGGTATTTACTTTCTCAATTTTCAGACCGCTAGTATTGGACCCATCCAATCCAACGAACAACGTGTGCAGTGAATTTGAGTGGGATGACATCCAAAGAGAAGCGATTAAAGTCCTACGAAGTCCCATGTTGGAAGACGTGTCTTCAACTAGTTGGAAATAGCGATAAAAATTGCATTGGACCTAAACTTCATTATAACATAAGTGTTATGAACTACAAGTTGCAACCGTTAAAAATTGTGTGTTATTAATGTCTAATGTTTAAATTTCTTTGACGTTACGTAGCTATGTCATGTTATGTGCAAAATCACTATATTTCAGTCGAAAAATGGATTATCTCCTATTTAAAACGGAAAATTTTCCCCTTCAGTCGGATACCCATTTTAGGCGTGTCATGGCAATAAATCGACTGTATTAAGTCATCATCTCTCAAGTAGCAAGAACATCGGAAATACCACAACTCTCGTAACTTTGATGCGCTTGAAAAAACTCTTTACATGCTAGTGTGCACTGATGACTTATGCGAGGATTGGTAGGCACTTAAGAAGGGGGGGACGGCACTACGATGACTTTGGTCATCAATCATGCATGGACACTTGACTACATGTGAGTTTTCATGGGGTATTTCAGAAGGTATCTCTTAGCTGCAACTGGAATCAGTTGTATTTTAAAAAATGGTCAATGTTTGACTATAGTTTGTGGCAGAAGAAACCAATCAGAAATATTAACTAGTTGATTTGTTCGCTGGCGAATTGAGGTGAGGAATCTAAATTTTTGCTCCAGGCTCCCCAAATCCACTGTGCGTACCTGCATAGCTTGCACGGCTATGCTTTTTGGCTGTTTTATAAAAGTCGACATAAAATTAATACGCGACAAGGTTTCTCCACTATATCATGTATCTGAGATTCTGAGGAGTTTGTTTTGGTCTTCATGCATAGCTGACTTGCTGACGTAAATTATTCAATGATCAATTTCTTTGACTCTTTGCAGCTATGCCATGTTACATACTTAATAAGTAAGTGCATGTACGTTGAAAGATGTGCGCAAACCCACTATATTTCTCTTTTAGACAAGAAAATCATCTTTCATAAATTTTATGTTCGAATGCGTTTGCCACAACAAGTTTATCACACTGAATTTTCCATTCACACGGGCAATATGTGTATGTCAAATGAGTCACATGGCATGAGGTCACATGCATGAAAACTTGTCAAAGAATATCTGCTGTGTGAAAAATTTTGCAATGCAAACAGCTTAAAAATTCAAAACGAATGGATGATGCCTCATTGTAAACCAATAATTTACCACCCTATTGTTAGGTTAGATCTTAATCGCAGCCTTACAATAAAATTGATAAAACGATATGCTCAAATTCCGGATTATAATTAGTCATTACAACCAATCATACCAATCATAATCAATCATTTTAACCAATCATTATAAATACACGCATCTCTATAGCCTCTGTTGCATGGTGTATAGAGAATCACCCTTAAAGCCAGCACTAAAATGACAACACATTATATTAAGAAAAAATTTGGAATTACCGAAAATCCAATTTCAAAAAAACGTAACCATTCGTAGAGGGGGGAATTTTAAAAAGCGCCTAAACGTATTTTAGGCAGTAATGCATGCCAAATTATCAATATCATGACTTTCACTAGATAAGTCTACGACTTTCCGGTATTAGCTACGGCCAAACGTACATCTTATGGCTTATTTCCACATTTATTGTTCAAAGAAAGAATTCTTATCATGTAATAATAAGGAGGGTGTTATATCTTGGCACATATCTCCTGAGAGTAAAACTTGAGATCCGTCATAACTATTGTGATGTTATTATATACCGGAAGGGTCTATTCCGCTGCTTTCATGTGTGCACGCACGCGTGTGTGAAGTAATTCGCCAGTTATACTTTTCAGTCTTAGAATACCATATTATAACAACGTTTATTAATTCTATAACTATATATTAAGACCTGATACTTTGCATGTATCGTCCAGGAATTACCCTTACTTCTGTCAATTAAAGTATCGCCGTCATAATTGTTAAATACTGCCACATATTGTCATAATGGGGGTGAATTTTAATTGAAAGTAAAAAACGTAAAAAACTTTTTTGTGCTTGAAAACTGTTTGAATTCATTGCGAGGAAATTTGTTCATAATATTCATAAAGAAGTTGTTACTTATTTAAAGTTTACAATAAGTTTACATGCAATTGCGATTCAAATGCATTTCCATGCATTGGGCTCTTGTGCCCACCAATCCAGCCCTAAATGGTTTCTTAAACACGTTGCACTCACATTATTGCTTGAGGATGGCTATTTTATAAAATTAGATAAAAAATACACGCGACAAGGTTTCCTCACTATTATGTGTCCAAGGAGTTTGTCTTGTTCGTCATAGCCAAGTTCACGTGTTATACATATACACGCTTAAGTATTATTTTTTACCAAGCTTTAACTTTATTGCAGCCAGTGCTTTAGAGGCTACACACTTGCACGCGTTGCGTACCTATTTTTGTATATTAAAAGCGTGTCGTTGTCAAATTGATCTCTATACACATTTAATAAACTAATTACTTCATGGTTGGCTCGTTTGTACGATTTTTACTATGCCCCATATTTTTGGATCAGAGAAAATAATAGTATAAAAGAGTGACAATTTCTCGAAAACCAATCGGATTTCTTGGGAATATCCGAGGTTCCATTTCTTATTGCCATGACACCCTTGCTATGGTTATAATTTTGACAATACAATCCTACCTGCTTAGAACTTTTAGAATTCGTTGGATTGTACTATACTCTGACTAAGATGCGAGTTCTGAGGTTATACACTCACATCACAAGGAAATTTCTTTATAATATTCATAAAGAAGTTTTCTACTTATTTGAGGTTTACATGGATATGTGATCCACGTTTATTTGTATGGCTTGGACTTTTTTGCCATCAATGGGTTCTCGTTCCCGGACATGTTGCACACTTGCGTCATGCGTGAACGCAATGAGGAGTTTGTTTTGTTCGTCATAGCCGAGTTCACATCTACATGCTCAAGTCTTCGATGACACCTACTCAGTGAACATGTAAAGGAAAAGATTTATTGCATTAACACCGGAATGATCACAATACTCGATCACTGCATGTCCTTGAAGACCATCAATCACTTCTCTGACGTGGGAATCACAATACTCCGCTTTATGTACTTAAATGCAGATTGCAACTCGTCAACAGTTCGTTGGGTTTAGGAGAAGCATCAAGTTGAAGTCCACAGTCTTGGAAAATTCTGCTTCTCTCGTGAAATAAACAGTCGACATTCCTTTACGGTAAGAACTTTATAGTTGCAACAGTTTGATGGATTAACATAGTTTCATTTTAACACATTTCAATTTTAGTTATTCAATAATTGAGTTTTAGAAAAATCAGTTTGACTTCTCCTTTCGAAGCAAGATGAACGTATTTTTGGTTGGCATTTTATCTTCTTGTCTGGTGGTCACTTTATTGGCAAGCACAGCTCAGTTAGTATATCAATACAAAATTTCCATAGTCAATTGCTAATTGTACGTTAGCATGCATCTATATGCAAATGTCTTTATGAAAAGGCGCTTTTCATTAATTATTACGAGGTTGAACCACTATAATAGGCTGAATCCAAGCTTGCTGCACGCTAAAATTCTAAAAAGTAATTGAACTAGTTATCACATGCAAACACCTGAGGCCTGAGCTAAAATCATGAAAGAATCGTATCTATGCTTTGCAGGGGTTGCACTCCAGACTTTGAAAGTTGTGGTTATGATGGAATGTGTTGCAGTGGAACATGCAAAGATAGTGAATGTTTTCCCGAGAAGAAACGCTCTTTGTTTGAGAAACAACTTTGGGCACGGTAAAACATGTACTGATATACTACAACTCCTCCCCGCGTGCCAACCCATTCCGCGTGCAATAAATAAGTGTGGAAGCTCTTGATGTAAGAGAAAAAGCGTTTTGCGTAAAATAGATAACGAAACATTGGAGCAAAATTCCTTAAAGAAGCAGGCTTTTTTTAGAAACACATTGAACGTCACTAATTTACATAACTCTCGAAGCCGTTTTTCATTAGCCTCATGGCTTAGAAACTTTTCGATTAGAAACTTTCCGTCTGATTTTCTTTTAAAATTTGTTCATAGCGGATCACTTTCGCAATTTTGCAAAGGTGGCAAATCAAGCGAAATATCATTCGTCGAAGTTTTTCGATCAAACAAAAACTTTCCCGATTAATTCCTCTTCGTCGTCCATTCTCAGCTGTTCTGTTAACTTTTCTGACATGATGACGTACGTCATAAGACTTCACTACAAAACTCAGTTGAAGACAGTTATCACCAGCCGGGAGGCACACGTCTCCGTTCGAATTCTTTTTCGGTATTTATAACTCTTTCCAGGCTCCTTGCTTCTAAATTCTAATTTCTGTATTATAACCAACTGATCGGGATTAATCATGCGATTCGTTTTGGTCGACTTTTTACAATTGAAAAGAAAATTGGGCAAAAGATTTCTGAGAGTGAAAACCGCCTTTAAACCTGACATTGTTCGACATAATTATCAGGAGGGTAATTGCAATTGAACAACTTGGCACAATTTTAGGAGATTCCCACCCTCTGCAATAGAATGGAAGGGAAAACGAAAACTCATGAAAAATCTTTTGGAACCGTAAGTCAAAAGCTGTGACCTATTCTTATAAACAAGCTTGGTCTGCAGCATTAGAAATAGCTAACGCATATCGGAAAAAAACAAGGCAGGTTTCTTTTGTTACGAGTTACTTTTAAGGGGCTGTTTACATGAGCCCGGTTACCCGAGATTCAACTAAGCGTGAGAGGACTTTGAGCTATTGAAATAAGTCTTTATGACACCAAAGAAGCATATGCTATTGTTGTGGTGACCATGTTATCTGCTCATTTCAATACCTCAAAATCATCTCACACTTCGTTGAATCTCGGGTAACCGGGCTCATGAAAAAACAGCCCCTTAAACAGATATGGTTATATGATTAATTTTGAACTTTTGTGAATACTTTCACCTCAGTTAAAATACGAGCGACGCGTTTGTATATGAGCGAATTTACAATGGCGAGTGCGTCAATCCAGTAATAATATCATGTTTAGGAAAGCATTGTTATTCATGATTTAACATTTTAAAACCAATTCCGTGTTTGGAAACACGCGCGAACGTTGAGAGAGTTAAGAAAAGCGCGCGAATCAGGCACGAGCCGAAGGCAGGCAACTCAAGCACCATTCGCAAGTGTTTGGTTCAGCCATCTAAACACGGGAAATCATTATTGTTTTTATAAAATAACAACAACAAGGTAATGTTCCAGGCTTGATTTTTATACGCGAATTAAATTTCCGAGTTTGGATGGCCTGATCCAAACATGGACTTCGACCAATCAGAACACATGTTATATACATGTCATTTCATAATGATATTTGAAACTTTCGTCTATAAATATTTTGTATTTTATCCCAGGGCTGAGGACAGTTGCTGTGGTTAAAGATGATGTGCTACGTGTATTACAGTCGGTTCCGGCTAAATCTAAAATGGTAGACTTGCATAACCTGCACGTAACTCTTAATTTGGTACAATTAGTCATTAGCGGGAATACTAAATAAAGTTGATAATACAGTTGAAAAATAAACAGCATCAATTTCAATATATGGAATCGCCGAATCGGTTATATATTAGAGCATAAATTCGCGGCAGGTTATTAAATATTATTTGATATATAGAATATCCTCAAGTTGGTGATCTCGGTAAAAATATGCCTTGATATTATTTCCATAATATCGTTTTATCGACCCACATTAAGGATAAGACGAGCTAGTTTTTTATGCAGAAACGATTTGCCAAAAAAAACCAGAATGAAAGGAACAAAAGGGTCAATTTATTCGGGGACTTAGCCAATACACCTTTCCCCTTTTAGATTTCAAGTGCGCAATGCGTGACGATAGTTGATTATCAAGCAACTTTGTGTTGCGATATCGCTCTGTTTAGAAGCGATTTTGTTTGTAAGAAAACTTGCCGCTTCTTTTTGCTTCTTTGTTAAACTAAATCGTTCTTAAACTAAACTCAAATTAACCTTGACAATCAACTACCGCCACACATTATCCGTTTAAAAGCTAAAAGGGGAAAGGTCTATTATACTAACTTTACGCTTATGTGCAGACTAGATCGGCTCTACGCTTTAATATTCACTTCATCACACCCAAATTCGGATTCGGACGTGATTATAAAAATAGCCGGGCATCTGACGTACAAATTGATTGCCACGTATACGCGCTCTATATGAAGTACAAATACAGAAGTATTGAGTCCAAATGGTAAAAGAAATTGATAATTTAATAAACAACATGTGCAGCAGATTTGCTTTGGAAGAAGTAGGAGAAGCAACAAGCGAAGTCCATTATAGTCTTACAATGATGAAGTCTCTTCAAGCAGTTGGATATAATGTCATACCGACATCTCACGAGTTAATTACATGTCTGCAAGGCCTGAATGGAATGATGATTACAGGTGCGTTCACGCGGCACCGAAACCGTTGGTCACGACATCTTCGTTTGCCTTGATAAGCAACGATGATCAGCAAACACTTAATAATTTTATAGATTTGGTATACTTATTCAGGTCTATGGCATTATAAATCGTCACTGTATTTCACTAACTTCAAAATTTGACATGATTCGATCGCAATCCGGTACCGTGCGAACGAGGCCAAAAACTGATAAAAAACGCATCGTATTTTTAGAGAATGCATTGTTCTCTAAACTTGATTAAACTAATAATACTCAAGAATATATAGATCAATATCAAATACTTCATGAAAGAAAGAAGCACCGGCTAATTGCACCCTTAACATACACACAAGAACATCATAATTATGGTTTCCAGCTTTGAAAACTTTTAAATTTAAAATCAGGATATAAACAACTACTGTTAACAGTCAGCATTCTTCAGCTTTTACCAGTAAGCGGGCCTAACTCTAAGAGTTTATAACCGCGGTCGAGAGATACAGTTAATACTTATTTTTAATTATATGCAATCATTATTGTTCTGAATAATTTAATGTTAAGTGGATAAAATTATTTGACATTTTGTAAATTGTCTTACAGATCACATAATGATATCATTGAAGGTGTTTACGAATTGAAATATGCAAACGGAAATCTTTCGAAAGTAATCCTAAAGCTTGTTGGATTGTTCTGAATCTGTTCCCACGATCCAATTTTGCCGCATTAATAAACTTCAGACGTATGGAATGTACTGTAGCCGCTTATTGATAAAGCAATGAATGTACAAATGGCTAAAATAAGCATGCATTGACTATAAATAAATTTACTATTGTCGAGTATCCTACAATTATCAATCTTATCATTATAAGGCATCTTCACCATGCAATGGTGCGTAGAGAATGACAATCGAAACTCAAAAGTGCAGACAAATGGGCGTCATCTCGAAATACCGCACGACCACAAAGGCTTATCAATTCATCTGCTTAAAGACAGTTGCCCACCATTATAATTTAACCCAATACATATATAGTGTATGTAAAAACGCAACCTCTGAATGCCTGAAAAGAAATCTATGCACTTCACTTCCAAATGTTTTAGTACCCCATTGCCAAGACATTGCCAGATCTGCTATACTTGTATTTCAGGATAATAAATTAATGTCAAAGTGCTTATTAACTTCTAGTCAATTGTTCACTCAAGCATGAGCGAGGTGGTTCGAAGTTAGGCAACAGCACAACGTAAACGAGAAGCCATTTCAAATTGCCATGGAACTAAACTCAATTTGTGCGTTTCAAACCACACTGATATTTTGGGAATTTCTAGAATGGGCTTTTTTCAGGCTCCTGTGTATTTGTGCGCGTGTGCATAGAATAAAACCCTATCCAGGTTTTACAGTAACCTTCGGTTCATTCTGATCTCAATGGCACGAACCCCAGATATACTCAACGCCTTATTTTAATTTATGTGCTTGAGGACAACTTAAGCACTTAACGCTTTTTGATTGCAAACTAAAGAGTTTAAAGAGCTTAAACATTTGAAATATCCCTGATGCCGACACGATAGCTATATCACATTTGTATTCTACACTTCTACCCCATGAAGACAATATTAATAGTATAGACTGATAGCCGAAAACGTGCAATTAATTAATATTTCAACCAGAGAATGTTTCTTAATAACGATAGCTATACTTGAGAATTTCGGGGTAAGAACAAAAAATCTATTCTAAGCTTGAGGCCGATTAGAAAAAAACTATTCATATCGCGGTAAGAAATTTATACAAGCGGCCATGAATGTTTTGTGATTATGCAGGGCGAGATACAGCGTGTATAAAAAAACTGCAACTCTTAGTATTCATCGGTGTATGTTCGCTTCTATTCAATAAAGACCGTAGGCGTCTGGGAATTTTAGGGTTGCAGTTTTTTTATGCACCCTGCAGAAATGAATTTTGACCGATATACATTTTGGAGTTTGTATATTCCTTCCGTAGGGTTCAGGCTTCCCGTTGAAATAACTTTTTTCTGGACGCTCAAAAACTCTATTACCTTAATTAAAGGGACTCGATATGTGATTTTTAAAGTGCTTCGTGCTTCACTAAAAATGTATGGGTTTTATAAGTTTACGCCGGCGTATTATGCAATAGTGAGTGTAATAATCGCTGATTCTAGAGCAACCGATGGTATATAATCATTGTTTATCAACATGCATTTGCCACGTCGCTGTTGAAAGTGAAAATTCAGCCTTGTGTGGCTTCGTATACACTTATGTGCTTAAAGGGTGGTTTATTTGATTAAGGTGAAGATTAGTGATTCATGCATGAAAAGGAATTTGAATAGTAAGAACTATTTGAGTAGATTGTTTTTCTCGACATAGTCGAGTTGCTGTCCTTTCGAACCACTGATCCGCGGCGGTAAAGATTTATCACAGCACGTCTTTGTTCGAAGACCCAGCAAGCCATGAACCACTCCCCTACCATGGTGTGTATGATGAACTGCAGATAAGCCTTATAAGAGCCCGTGTAACTCCGCGTGTACTCGTCATTATTTCGTTGGGAGCAGAGGAGAAGCAACAAGGTAAGATGACCACAGGGTCGAGGAACGTCTTTTCTCGTGCGCTTTTTAGGGAAAACATTAGCATTCACTTGACCTTGCTTTAGGTGCAAGTTTTGATTGACAGAGCATTCTGTACAATAGACGCAGTGCAAACGAAAGGCAATAAATTGCTTATCATCGAAGACCGTTCAGAAACTGCTAAATTCAAATGGAACCTCGATGTCTACGCCTTCCTTAGGAGAATTAGTATAAGCATATTGCCTTCTTAATTTACATAGATCGAGAAGTTCTCTTGCATATTCAAGGGTAGTTGCTGTATATTTATATACTGAGTATATTGTATTTGAAAATATAATATGGATGGTTCATGCATGCATGATTCAATGAAATTTGTATTTTGTGCATACAATTCCCTTGCCTTATTCATCATAAGTTGAAACATTTAAGAACTCGTATTCTACATTTGCATTTTAGAAACACCAAGTTAACGTTAACACTTCACCGGTTAGAACAAAATGAAATCGTTTTTGGCTGGCTGTTTATTTGTTTGTTCCGTGGTAGTCTTGTTCTCAAGCTTTGCTCAGTAAGTACCAAGTTCATCCTTTTTTATACCACAAGTTCAGTATGAACTTGAGAACTCTAATTGCAACAGTTCTCGTGCAAATAATTTTCAAAAGAAATCCTTTGAACGGAAGGAATCCAAAAAAAATAACTACAAAATATTTTTTATGCTCACTTCGAAAATTCCGAACATTTGAATTCATCAATTTATTCGCCGACTTTTATTTGCTATTCAATTTAAACAACGGCAGTTAGAGATAAAACTAGTAATAGTTTACACTTACAGGCATGCCAAAAGACGCGATTGGGGCAACTTTAATGCAAATGTTCGACGGGTTTTACTATTTTTGGTTTGAATGATAATGGAATGATAACGAATTTCAATTATTCCACGTCGTTTATACCACTTGAAAGAAGTACGAGTTCTTCAGTAATTGAGCTCTACCTGTACTAGTAGACACCTAGCAACCATTGCCCTTGAACTTCGAAATTGTTGCAAAGATATTGTGAAACGATATTCTTCACGAAAATAGATAACTGATTTTACGTTTATACAGAGGCTGCACTCTAGACTTCATGAGTTGTGGTTATGATGGAATGTGTTGCAGTGGGACATGCAAAAATAGTGAATGTTATCCCGAGAAGAAACGTTCTTTGGTTGAAGAATTATTCAGAAAAGTGGAAAAACGGTAAAATTAATGTTTGGTTCAGACTAACCCATCCCATTTAACCGGCAATATTTTATTGCGGAGTCGTTAAATAATAAAGAGGGATGGCTTGACTTCAGGTTCTGGGTAAAAAAGTTGAAATGAATTAAGACTAGCCTAAAAATAATGTTATTCGTATCTATGTTTGTTTGTTTGCAGAGACTGTACTCCAAACTTTCTCAGTTGTGGTTATGACGGGATGTGTTGCAGCGGAACATGCCAAAATGGTGAATGTTATCCACAGAAGAAACGTTCTCTTTTCGAAAAATGGATTGAGGAACGGTAAAGCATCTTTTGTTCGAGAATTTATCAAAAACGCTAAAACTTTTCCTTCAATACACTCTTATCCCACAACCCACTTTTACCTGGAAAAATGACGCTCTTTCGCCGGGGAATCGCTTGAAACAAAAAGCGATGGTAAAACAATCGCCTTATGTACGCTCTCCAATCCATTTCACCTTCAATGATTGAGGGTGTTGATTTTAGATTGGAGTTCAATCATTGCAAATCGGGTTCTCAATGGTTCTTAATAATATTTCAGAAATAATGTACGACGTACCTATTGGATACCGACTGCAGGTCGAAGATGAAAACTGTTCTGAGTGTAAGTGAAATGCTCTAATCCTCAAGTTTTCAGTATCAAATTAAAGAATCTCATGATATGCAGATATTTACGCATGGACAACAGAGACGGGGCCGGAGGAATTTAAACCCCCCCTCCCACCCGCTTTCATTAGCGTTAAAGACTTATTTATGGAAGATTAAAATTTCATTGGGGGTTCTATTTAAGACTTAGCCCCCATCTTTCTCACACGCTCCCCTACTCTCCGCTTTCTTTCCCGAGTCCCTTGGAATAAAATCACCTGCCGCCATCTTGTTTTGCAATTAGAAATTTGCACAAGATATATATGGAGGAAATATTTTTATGCCACTTCCCTTCAAAATTACCCCTCACCCAAAAGTTTGCTTTAGTTGAACGGCACATTTTTCGTTCGTTAATTATTTATTCTATTTTATCGCAGGGCGTCACAAAGTATTTTGATACAAAACCTAATAAAGGACGCAGTTGCATGTTATAAAGCAGAATATTTCATTAGCATACTGTATTAAGGTTGCATTTTCTGAAATAAAATACCTAGCTTTATACTGAGAATGTATGAATTGTATTGCTTGAATGAAATACCACAGATCCATGTCCACTCAATATAATGGACATGATCTGACATGCATGATTGATTTTGGGAAAAACATGCCTTGAGGATCTATGCTGCGTGTGATCGATTACCTACCGGCTTGTGTTTGCGTTTAAAGAACGCTTTTCACAGTGCATAATGGGAATTTTATCAAACTCGGTAAAAACGTTAAGGCTAACTTTTACACAAATGCGTTGCTTGTTAATGATTAAATGGAATACCGTTGCAAATGCTCTGGTTTTACATAGGAATGCTATTCAACACTATGGATGCTCCGCCATTTTACTCTGATCCTATCAGGCTAAAAACCAACTTTTCTGCATAGTAAATATAAGATGTTAATCCGTGGAGTCATTTTAGACTGACTGTTGCTTGTCAACACAAAAAACATTCGGTATAATAATTGATGATCATTCGATTAGAAATTTAGCGCTGTGATTCTTTTCAATAGAAGCAATTACGTTTCCATTTTTGAGAAGCTAAACATTTTTTTTAAACACCCACAATTAGCTTGTAACTAATTGCTACCTGTGAACGTCTCAAAAATTTGAATTAGAAGGCTCCCACAAATAACATAATAAATTGCTTTCTAATTCGAATGGCGGGACAGAAATGGATCATTTCTGTAAAATTTTTAATGGTAAAGTATTTCAACAGGGAAATAAAACTCATTTTCCTGCTGATCAAAATACTTTGAGTTTTCTTTAAAGTGAATGCGTCTAGCGCTTCGGCTTAAGTAACTAACTCCTCCTTTTCGGGAGACAATTACCTGTCATCCTTCGGCAAAATTCCATATACATTTACTGTTAAAGTTTTCTTTGAAGATGGCTTGAAACGTGAAACGTCACGCTTGTAATAATCTTTATGAACGAAAATAAAAAGTGTCACCGGATAGATCATGTGATGATTTAGCTTTCAAAATATACGGCATTAACGTTAATCTGAGGACTTGTGTTTCATGCGATGGTGTGGGCGACGATATTGGATAATTAGAGTTAATTAACAAGTAATCTAATTTCGATTTTTATTTTTCTAATCAAATTTAAATTTCGATTTTTCGTAATTTGCCCTTTAAAGAATCGATATTGCTAAGTCTTTATCACGTAAATTTGAAATAAATGCTTTAAAAGGGTATATGGCCATGCACCCTGAATCAAGTGTTACGGCTTTTTTCCAATCATCGTAATGGAGAACTCGTAAGTTCGCAGTGGGGGTTTTCATTTCATTGGGAAATAAAATTGCTTTCAAGTCAACTTTAATTACATGCAAGCCACTCGCAAAGAGCTGGCGAATAGGTTCTTGCGTGGTTAAATCATAGTTAAGGGCTGTTTACATGAGCCCAGTTACCAAGATCTAACGAAGCGTAAAATGGACTTTGAAGTATTGAAATGAGTAACTAACACGATTCTGGTAGTCGTGTTATCATCCAAACAACAGCATTTCATTGTTTTCTTTCCAGAATTGTGTTATTCACTTATTTCAATACCCCAAACCGGGCTCATGTGAACAGCCCCTCAAATGAGAATTCAGAAAGCACACTCACAAATATATGCATGCAAATGGCAATGGTATGCCTCTCATACTAACTCTCCTGACGCAGGCCCTGAGGACGAGAAGTGTTTTGTCTATTTTGATAGTTGTTATACCACATTTGATGCTAAGTTGTTCGAAGACGCTGCTCCTTGGTTATATTGGAGCTTGTTAAATCACCGTATCGTGTTACATGCATCTGAAGAATAACCGAAATGGGCTACTTTAGGCGGTCAACGGGTAGTTAAAAACATGATTACAATAAGATTAGCCTAAAACTAAGAAGTCAGGTACAGTAAGAATTCAGACAGATCAACAATTTATGACGAGAAGTAATCTAGTGCTCTAAATCACAGACTCAGACATTCAAATGCCACCAAAGGCAAAGTAAAAACGACTGATATATTCTGTCATTTATATACTCACCTTAATTCGGGTCGATGCTAAAACAAAAGCTTTCTTTCACAATTTTTCTTCGTCCACAATGATGTGCTTGGCACATGCAACGGCTTTCACGTTTCAACTTTCAAATCTGCCACGCAAATGCTTAAGCACCGCTGCATGGCTTAATTCTTTAGCCAAATTCAAGCATTGATTGGTTGGCCATAAACAAAAGGATGATTACGCTTAGCATATACGAAGTTATATCGACGAAATGAATAAAAAGAATAACAATTGGCTTGAATATTAAATGCTTTATAGTGTCAGCGTCCTGCTAAATAAAGCTCGGCTTTTGACCGAGGTTTTAAAAACACAATACGCGCATGCACATCTGGGGCCCTTTGTGTAAAATGCTAGTTAACTTTCAACCATGTATATAGTTAAGGGCAGAATTGGCCAATTAAGGGTCTGTTCATATGAGACGGGCCAGCCCGGCAGTGGTGGGATCTCGCCTCACATATTATTTTACTTTATTTGTAAAATTGCATTCATATGGAACCAGGCCAGCCCGGCTTTGGCGAGATCTCGCCTTTAACGGGCTCATATGAAAACAGCAAAAGCGAGCTAGCCCGGCTCAACCGGGCAGGCCCGGCTCATATGAACAGGCCCTAACTCGGATTTAACAATATGCCAAGTGCAGTTAAAGAGTTATGCAACCGGCCATTGACGTTGTATAGCCTGTGTATTGAAAAAGCAGAATACTGACTGCAATTGCATTAACGAGTTGTTTTGCTAACTGTTATTATATACAAGTCATCTATTATCACAAGTTATTTGGTTAGGTATTCTTAGGTTATTACCACGCTTTTGTTCCACCTGTGCACACATTACTGAACAGGCAAAGGTCAAATGTAACCTTGTACACGTCTGTGGTAAAATACCAAATAAGATATTCGATTGTTAATAATATGAAGTCAACATAACGAAACGAATAAATGTGTTTAAGAATATCAACTATGAGAAGAATAGTTGTTAAATGTTTGTGATATACACCATGTAATTCATACAAACACTTAACAACTATTTAACAACACCATTCAAAGAACATATGAGAATAATGATAATCTAATTGCTAAAAATGCTAACGATTCCATTATTTTCTATAATTATCGGATAAAATAATATTTCACTGTATGGAGTTTACTTGTTGGAGTGAAATATTTTATTTACAAGGTAAGCGTAAGCGAGGCATTTTCTTCTACTTGGCGCTGAGGAAATCAATCATTTCTTTTAAATTAATATTTGGCGACCTCAAGCTTTCCTCAGACCCGTAAGGGAATAGAATGTGTTTTAAACTCCACTGGCGATGATTGTCTTTCATTCACCTATATATAAAGCAAAAACAATTTATTTGATAGTTATTTCTGTGTAGTTATTATTCACAAATCGTTCGATTAAATTAATGTGCTTACCTTTGGTTCAAGAGGTTTTCTCAAGTAATGTTGAGGACTCGGCGTATTACTGAATGAATTTCCAGGACTATTGCTTTGAAAATTTTCTTTACCTGCAAAAGCAACGGCAATTTAGCTATTACAGTAAAAAATAGGCCTTTCGAAAGGGTAGTGTGGCAGCTCCTCGCAAGAATGATCTTCATTGACTACTAAACTTTACAATACATTTCTGTTTCAACCAATAGCATAGCTTCGTTCTTTAGAAAGCATAGAGAAGCATTATCCAATTGGATGAAAGCTTCCGAGCATGTCCCTTTCAAAATATATAAATTTCAGCTTCAATAATAATTAACCCTCGTACGCAGGGTCTCCTTTACCTACGGCGAAGCTAGATCATGGTATAGGTAAAAATATTCTATTCGCTGGATAGCGCAATCCAGCTTTCGTACAACCGGCCCCCATATATACATGCAAGGATCACCGCATGTTTAAAGGCGGTTTTGGAAAAGTTTTTAGGCAGACGATTGAGAGTAGTTCCATGTACATATGGCAGTAATAATTTCACTAAGGAGACTAATAACGTTTACCTAGCTCTCTAGGTATAGGTATATAGGTATATAGTTAAGCGGCAGTTGATTCTGATACCCACCAGGTGAAGCAGCCGCCAGCCTCGATTTGGCGAACTTGCTTTTTAATGCGTCAGCGATAATGGAAGCGGGATCAGCAGCCTTGGTTTTCCGAGGAGGTCTTCTGATTGGCGTACCGCCCGGGGACCTTAAAAAAACACAACACGAAATAATTTGAATTGTTATGTAATAGGTGCTATGTATTTTAAATGTAATATTGGTTCATTCGTAGTCACATGACTTTAAACAAGTGTAATTTTTCCCGCCAGGGAAACAAGTGAAAAATTGTTGCCCGCTTCTTGTCATAACAAAGTAAATTTTTTTTTTAAATGAAATTGTTGTGTAACAGGATGTATGTTTTTGTTCCTATATAACAAAGAACTTAATGTACACTAACTAACTAACTAAAGCAACTAAGATTTTACTATGCAAAGTGCATTTAAAGAGTTTTATACAACCGGCCATGATTATTTATATATATGCAAAGCATCGCGACTTCTAGTTAAAAGAACGGTTGGCAGGATTATTCAAGGAATTTAAACATTCAATTGCTATAGTTATCAATCATTAATTTGTCTTTTAAGAAACTGGGAAATTTCAGGGTACCTACTGCCTTAGTGGGGGAGGGGTGGGCATCTTTTTCCCAGTTAAGTTTAGATATGGTTCCAACCAGTTGAAAACTAATTCTCACAAACTGATACATAAACTAAACATGCCAACCCCTAGCATGAAAATTGTGTTTACCAATGCTATATCTAGGAAACTTTTATTTAAGTCAATTACCTTTCGACCGCTTTCAGCTTTACTTGATTCAGATCTTTTAAAATTGCCGTCATATCGAGCACATTTCCATTTACAGCAGAGGGAGGTTTTCCAATTTTCTTAATTTGGCGGAGGAGAAGAATAGAGATTGTAAAACATAAAATGTATATATAATTAGTACACTAGAATACCAGATCCAACAAAGTGAAACAAAACATATGATGTTGGTCAAGTAGATCCTTACCTTTTTAGGAGTTTGTGATACTGCTCTAGTGGTGGGCAAAGGAGGTGGTGGTGGAGGTAATGGAGGTGGGGCAGGGGGTAATACCATACCTACATAATGATAACATAATTCATATCAATTGAACTGTGCCAACCATTTTTAATATTCACAATATCAGATAACATTCTATTATTCCTCTGCAGGGGGGTCAACCATATAAAACTGTGTGCAATTACAGGTTGTTATGGAGACAAAGATGCAGTTTTACATCATACTTGTAGTTTCTGAATTGTCTTCTTGTTTCAGGACAAATCCAGCAATTTGTGCTCTCAATCTGCTTAATTCATCTTCCAATGCAGTGATTTTCCTAACTGCATCATCTGATACAACCATTGAGTTCTGATAAGTATTCTCATGGCAGCTTTCATTGATGGTATCCCAACCAATGGAGCAGCTTTCAGGACTGATTGTGTTTCTGCAGGGTGTACTATGGATAAATTGAGCAGTGTGGATATTCTTCACGCCCCTGGTATATGTCTCGGATGCCTGTTTGTGGAGCATCTTGAAAATGAAAGGTAGAATTGATTTCAATATAAACTGGATTTATCTGTTCAAGAGAGTTTGACCAATTCATACAGCATATGACTTTTGATTGGGATGAAAAGTGATTCCTAATTTGACCCAACCCCCATATACCCAAAACCCCTAATTTGAGTTACCCATATGGTGCACTAATGTGTACCAACAAGCTTCAGGTGTCTATAATTGCTAGTTTTCAAGCAGTGCACAAGCATGTTGTTGAAATTTTAAGCAGAGTAAAAATTATATTGAACAGTTCAGTTCAGCACCACTCTCGTATTTTCAACGTCTTAATTTTATAACAATAAACACACTGACATGCAGTATGCTGCAGAAATTGCATGGCTGGCTATATGTATAGAATATTACAAAACTCACATAGAAATATGGCCGTTTTCCTGGTTGTATTGGCAACCTATTTCCGATTTCTCTTATCAAACTTTTTCTGGCTAAAACCGACTCCATTATCGTCCTGTAGTGGTATAAAAACGGATCAAATGCCAAACCACGAGGAAGGTGGTCGCCCAAATAACGCACGATACTCTTGTTTTGCCCGTCTCGCCGAAGACAGATCGGCTGCCATCGCTTAGAGATAAGTAAATACAATGTTAGAAGGCATACCAAGAATTCTGGGCGCTGCATATAGACTAAATAAAGCTTGAAAGTGGAGCTTCGAAATTTTCGACCAAAATTTTTGCTAAATATCATGCGTGGATTAGGTTGATAAACACAAGCGAATGACATAATTACCACAAATACATTCTCGCCTTCTTCTGTGTGACATAACCTGTGAAAAATCTCAGCCACATGCGCTAAAATTTGAGCAATTTCCTCGCGAATGTTGATATCACCCTCGGGTTCCATTTTGTAAAGATGTTTCAGAACCGTTTGGAAATTGAAAAGAACGTCGAGGCATTTAAATATTTCCACCAATTAGATGCCGATTTGGAAACTGTCGACCAATCACATTTCAAAGCGGCTCATTCAAATTTTCAAATGTATCGTTTTAAATTACACAAAGAACAGTCATTCAGACGATTCAGTTGAAACGTGTAGCGATTCATTGTCCGGTTATTTTGCTAAAATACTGAGTCTAAATAAATAATATGGAAGCAATAGCGTTAGTAGAACATTTGAAAGAGTTATCTGATAATCCACAAAACAGATCAACGATTGTAAAGGTAAAGAAATAATATAAATTTGCATTCAGTTCAAACTCGCCAGTCGCTGTCGCATGGCATGTAAATACACATAATATAAAATATCTGTTAAAAAGTGTAACGTTTTGTATTTTTATTTCAAACCACGAACTACAGTTTATCACTCTGAGGTATATGAAATGAATAGGGGTACTATTTTAATGTTTCATAATGCTATACACAAGCATGTGGGTATATAAAAGTAACACAGCTGTTTTCCATGACTAACTTTTAATACTGGTAATTACACGATCTGGGATCTATGTAGAAATGAATTTATTAAATAGGAAATTTATGGTGCATTACAACAGCTGGGTTTAATAGGGTGCATTGCCACTAAATCTTCAGTCTAGTTTCACAACACAGTTTATGGGTTCATTGGGTGCATTGCCACCAATGGTTTCGTCTAGTGCATGACACAATTTAATGTTTTGAAGGGGAGTTAATGCAGGTTCTGTGTGTGCATTGGTATTCCTGAAGTTACAATGGCAGACCTTGTGATATTAAAATTGTCTAATAGAATTTCTAGAACTTTTCAAAACAAACCATTTAGCAGTAGTGTGAACCAAAATAGTATTAATTATTACAGTATTGGATAATATTTATAAAGCAGTTCAAATGCAACACATAGAAGCTTGTTGATTTACTTATTTCTACGTATACTCACCAACTTTAGTTATTCCTTACAGGATAAAGGATGTCTAGCAGGTCTTGTTTTATTCCTGGATAACAATGAGGCTCGAGTTGTGACGACTGCTCTTCAGGTATGGAACCTTAGAATAAAGCAATTGCCAAGAACCAATATGTAATCATTTGATCACCATAATATACTTGGTTAAGATATGTGCCAGTGTTTATCAAAAAGTTTGATTTGAATTATTATAAACCTCAATGTAACCAATCAATGTCAATGGAACCCAGCCAATCTGAACCTTTGAAATTCTCTGTACCATTTTAAAACAATTTTTGGCCGCACTAGCAGCCACCTTCCTTCAACAAAACTGTCTAAATTATGGTAGGATTCAAGTCCAACATAGGCATTCTTCATGACATAGGAGTCATATCTCAAGATCCTAAGAATATAAGATATCTACAAGGTATCAAGACCATAAGATATCATTCCTTAGTAAGTTTATATAACCACAAATAAAATACTCCTTAGAATAATCTTGGAGACACCATATGTTGCAATTATATGGACATTTAAGAATTCCTTGTGGGAACTCTGAAATTCCTTAGTTTTCCGTACTCATCTTATATCATGGGTGGAGTTCTTATTGAACTTGAATTCTGGCTTTTAAGGAAAAGTTTGTAGTTGCAAGCACCCTGCCTAAGTATTTTTAAAACTTGGCATAAAATAAAGTATACATATATTTAAACTTTTCATCTGTAATTATTTTTAATATGAGATTTCTGACTTTAAACGACAACAACTTTGAGAAGAATAAATGTAATGATTAGACTTATTATAAACGTATCAAAAAGTCTACAACACGAAGTATTCCCAGGCGGTCACCCATCCAAGTACTAACTTCGCCCGACCAGGCTTATCTTCGGTGATCGAACGAGAACCGGAGTTTTACTGGTGGTATGGTCGTAGACACCTACATTTGAAAATTAGCGTATATAACCGCCCGTTTATACGTACTATTTTACTGCAATTTTCCTCTTTCTACAGATGCGAACGAGTGGACATTTGAGATTTCGCTAATATATATAAAGTACCCTTTTATACTCACAAACAACCCGTAACGTATCCACTCGTTCGCATCTATCAAAAGAGAAAGAGTCGCACGATTTTGGATTTTATTCTCAATGTAGACGTATTTAATACTTTTTAAATGTTGCAATTAAATGAATTCGTCGGGTATATATCTATAAATCTAAGTGTGTATAGCTTTCAGTGTGAAAGTCAAGGCCAAAAAGTCTACAACACGAAGTATTCCCAGGCGGTCACCCATCCAAGTACTAACTTCGCCCGACCAGGCTTATCTTCGGTGATCGAACGAGAACCGGAGTTTTACTGGTGGTATGGTCGTAGACACCTACATTTGAAAATTAGCGTATATAACCGCCCGTTTATACGTACTATTTTACTGCAATTTTCCTCTTTCTACAGATGCGAACGAGTGGACATTTGAGATTTCGCTAATATATATAAAGTACCCTTTTATACTCACAAACAACCCGTAACGTATCCACTCGTTCGCATCTATCAAAAGAGAAAGAGTCGCACGATTTTGGATTTTATTCTCAATGTAGACGTATTTAATACTTTTTAAATGTTGCAATTAAATGAATTCGTCGGGTATATATCTATAAATCTAAGTGTGTATAGCTTTCAGTGTGAAAGTCAAGGCCAAAAAGTCTACAACACGAAGTATTCCCAGGCGGTCACCCATCCAAGTACTAACTTCGCCCGACCAGGCTTATCTTCGGTGATCGAACGAGAACCGGAGTTTTACTGGTGGTATGGTCGTAGACAACTACATTTGAAAATTACGCTCTATATAGTTTGGGATTATATATAAAATTACGCTATAAATTGTTATAAAAACCAGAAAAAAGCTAGATGCAAGAAGGTCAGTGTTTCTATGGACTATACCCCCTCCCCCAATAATTTGACCATGATCCTACCATAGAGATATCTATGGATCCTACCCGTGATTTTCGGAACATATGAAGTATAGTTTTCATGTTCTTAGACTTGAAGTGAGTTAATTTATATGACAGCATTTGCTAAGAGAAAATATTTAAAATGGTACCAGCAAAAAATTACAAAACCAAGGCCATGCAAGGGCGAGCTTTGAGCCAGAGCACCTATCCAAGTACTAACTTTGCCCAGTTAGTGCTTTTCTGCTTGTATGGTTGTAGAGATTCGATAACAAAACTTACCTTTACCTGGAGAATATATGCAGCTAGTCTTACAACGTGTCCAAGCTACTTCTTACTTGCCAGCCCTAGTATTACGGCTGATCAAACCACGGTTTTGCGTGTTGACTGACCAGAAATTCTTTGGGTGTTGGTATTAATTCTGCACAATCGGTTGCATCTGCGGTTAATGGCCAATTGAATTAAAGAATATCTGAAATTGAGCAAAACGTACCAATGACCATGTTGAGAACTTGAAATTATAACTGGTCAAACAATGAACAATTCAAAAAGGATAATAGTTTACGACTTGCATGTTAGTAAATTTATGTTTTATCCAGGACTGAAAGTCAAGTGCACTGCACTTGTTGTAGTGAATTTTTTTTCCTTTTTCTCGGGAGAACAGTTCAATGACAATGGTTGGTTGCTTAGAACTATTAACTAGGTTTTTGGTTGTCAAACTCAAATCGATGAGTTATAAGATTCTGATTTCTGCCAATCTTTATCACAGGCTTTGAAGAATCTGGCACAACACAAGCCAAATAGAAGCATCATGAAGAATGAGTTGGGAATGTTAGAAAGTTTGAGAGCCATCATGCACAGGTATTACCTTCATTGCATGTTGATTGTGATTAATCTTTTGGTTAGGGTGTGACTCAGTCCCATCAGATACTCATAAAATCTTGGCCAAGTGACAGTAATCGAAGCAGTTAACTAGAACTCAAATGCTAGAATATCTATAGTTTCAGAATATCTTTTTAAAACAAATTTCCGTTCCTTATGTTTTTTAACCTATGATCAGAACCTGAGACCTTACGCGATATCTACTCTATGTATAGAAATGGTGACGCAAGGACCAAGCAATTAGCAACAGACGTATACGATGCTTTAAACCAATCACAAGAACAGACCTCGCGCAGGTCAAGTAGCACCTCAAGGTAACCTTTAAATATGAACTGACTCATGGTCATTAACGTATAGTCAATGAATATAAACATACAAATTGTACTGTCAAACAAGTTTAAATTTTAAGTGTCGTAAATACAGGATGGCCGGTGGAAATATTATTCAATTATTAAAAATACCAAACCCTGACAACTTTACACATACCAACAAGCCTCGTATTTTCCTCCAATATCGTCTTTTATCTTCAAACCCATAGTCGTCAATCAACGGTGCTAGGCAGCGCCACTCGAAGATCTAAAACGTACATCATTCAAATCAAAGGCCTTTCAAACCAGGTACGATATAATAACAATTACGATGACATGATAAAATATTACCGCAATGTCGTACGTACTCGCAATTGGATGAAATTGAGACTACAACACTGGATGTAATTTAGGAAAGACTTAGTCAACAGAGTTTTTATAGTTTCCTGATGAAAATCATATAAGAAAGTGATCGTCTTTGACAAAGCTGTAGGAGCTATGCCATGCAACCATGCAAAGTCCTTCGCGAGCAGTTTGTTATATAAATAGTTCAAAAAACTCGAACTGTAATCTTTATTTTCAGATAACAAAGAGACTTTGCGAAGAACAGTTACTAACCGTCCGTGGTATGGTCAGCTTCACATTCGATTTGGCAAAATCTCGATGCATCGTGCGTGCGAGACCCGAGACCACTGCAGAAACAATATGTATGGCTATCAGTAAAACTAAAGTGCTTTCTGCTCAACAAATTGTCAAGAACGAACGAGGGGAAGAGGTAATTATATATCCTGCATTGAGTATTTCACTTTCACAACTCCTCTTCGTAGAGATCGTTTCCAAAGATCGAGGTTCCCTTTTTTGGACCATTACTACCATAAGAAATAACATTTCCACGTTTCCATCGAATTCCTATTAAGAGTTATTTGTTACTGTAGGAAACTACAGTGTATTTTTATGGTAGCCCATCTTAGAAAAACATATTGCATAAAAAACAACGAATTCAGGCCTTATTTATGGGTTTATTTCTTCTCAACCTAGGTGACTGTGTCTTTTAAGTCAGGCAGTCAAAACAAAAGTAGTGTTCAAGACAACAGCGCAAATCTACCAGATTACCTTCCCGAAGAAGACGAAATTCCCGGGTCCAAAACGGTACGTTATCTGGTATACCTCTTATTGAGAGATTTCCTATGGGGGGGGGGGAGGAGGGGAGGACTCTAAAATTAGGTAAAATTATAAGAATTAGTTGTAGTAAACTGGTAGAGGACAGAACAAAAGTAAGGGTAAAACTTAAGACTATAGTCGAGTTCAAATCATTCGCAAATCAGTTTTAAAATGCAGATAAATGCATTCCAGAGAGTCCAAAAGTTTAAATAGTTCATGTCCTTTGAAAATTTGAAAATCAAGTATCGGTGTATAATTTTTCTACCTTAATAGAGAAATATATGGAGAAATATATTTTCTACCTTAATAAAGAAATATATGTTTTCAGGCGTTAGCACGAGTTAAAAAGAATGATGACAAAGAAAATCAAGGATGGTTTGGTTCCGTTGGCAGTTTCATCAGCAAAACCTTATACTGGTGAAATACACAGGCTGTACATGGCTTGCTTTAGTACCGTGCTTATTGCGATGGTTCAGAACTTATGAAGATGCATTTTAAAACAAATGAACAAACTAACTGGAACAGGTTGTTCGAAAGGCGTTTAGCTTAAACGGTGGATAAGCCAAAATTTAAAAATACTTGCATACATCTTGTGAATGCCTAAACCTGCATCTTATGCATTAAATATATACTTCAATTGAAAATTAAACTATTTATATCGAAATATTCCAGCTCATTTGCCCAATAAAGAGATAATTTTGTTCCCCGCTTTGAACTTATCCGCCGTTTAAGCTAAGCGCCTTTCGAACAACCGGCCCTTGATCTCTCAACTGAAAAGATGATACAGCTTTATTTTCATCCCCATGGTTTTTCAGTAATCGTTCTCGGGTGGTCAGCACAAAGAATGGAGGTCGACTCTTTTCGTAGAAACAAATCTCACTTCGGTTTTAACAAATATCATGCATTTTTCATATACATTTATGCTGGCTGATACCACCTTGTAAGATAGGGATTACAGTATAAAACCGTATAAATGAATTCACAAAGAGTTTAAATCTGAACTTCACTCTGAAGCTTGCCAAAACGTTGCCAAGTCAATTGCCCAATTTAATAAACCTATTTTTTAATCTATAATAAACCTTAAAACTTGGCAATAAATTGGTAAGTTTGAGAGCAAAATTGGCAGAAATTAAAGCTTTTGTGCATGGAATTTTTTAACTTTGTTCCATGTTTAACTGAAATTGTAAATATTTTTTATAAATATATATGTCTACATTTGGATATGTTTTCTGAAAGTTTTGTTTCTATTTGTTTGGAATTCCCTATTGTCGTTTACCTGGTCGTTGTTTGAATGTTCGAATCTTGTTTTTATGTATAGAAAAGTGACCAAATTCTACTACTTCGTACTCATGGGGAGAAAAGACCCTGGGTACGAGGTTGCAAATTCTAAAGTTTCAAAAACCACAACAACTTCATAATTTAGCTATCACTATCGAAGTGAACGTATCTTTTTATTGTGGGGATTCATTTCCTCACTCCGTTTACGTTTTTCGTATTCTTCAGGTATATCTAAAAAATGAAAGTAATTAGCATATCAGGGGCTGGTTGTAACAAAGGCTGCATAGCGGTATCAACCGAATAGTGATTTTTTCAAACCGTTACTATAACAATGTTCGAATAGGGATGAAATTTAACTTTGGGACCAACAATTATTAAAGAGGATCCTCGATTTAGGAATAATAAGAACTTACTGACTGAGAGTGAGGTCTGTACGGTAAAATATCAAACCGAGGTTTGATATTTTACCGTACATACCGAACAATCGAAGTCAGTAAGTTATTTATTATATGACTTAATTTGGGAAAACCATAAACACGAATAATAATTCATTTCGAATTGCTGTTGTTTTTCCCGAGGGCAATAAAAATTGAGCGTATTGCCCGTGGGCAATATGGGAAAATCCCGCCTCGTCAGCAGCCAATCAAATTGCAGGATTTACAAAAACAAACACTAGTCATATAATAATAAGATTTAATCAAACCAAACAACGGGCGATTGTTTAATATTTAAAATATTTAAAGTAATTATTATCTATTCGTTTGATACACTATAACTATAAATTAAAAAACATGTCTCTAGATGTGCCTATTTGAATATTTTTTTCCATAAGTATTTCCTGGACAATAGACACTTCCCGTATTTGTTCTCGGGCAATAAAACCATCCCACAAACAATAGATTACATCCCCGCCTCGTTTCCAAGCTATTGTTTTGCCGTGCACTTAAGCAAATTTGGGAAGTGTCTATAGAAGTTAATTTTTATTAAAATTTGATTGAAACAGCGGATAAAAATTTATTCCTGGGCTAACAACAACCCCCAGATCTCAGACAGATTTGTTAATTTTATTGGCCAAAAAGCGTTATAACGACCTGAGGTTAACGCCAATTTGGCGTCCTGTTTAATTGTGAATCATGCATTTCGAAAATGTACAATACTGACCTTCCCCGGTGATATCCGAGTATTTTTGAATATACGTTTTCCTGTATCGTTCTGGAAGATGTGGCGTAAAACCTGCAAGAAAAACCGAAGTTTAGGGTAACATAATTTCTATTTACAGGCGTCAGATTCTCTCCATTTTAAGATTCTCCATCAGCAGCTATATACGCGGCAGAAAATTTTTAATTTTAAAGTTCATGTACTTTATACTATACCTAGGTATAACTCGTAGTATTTTTTCTCAGCCAACAGAACAGTTACCATACAAACCAGAAGCGGCTCAAACTCGTTTTCCTGTTGAAAATACAATAGAACATGTAACAACAAGTAATAGATAGCTGCTGCAAAGTTACTGAAAACCAACAAGCTAAATATTAAAAAACAATACAACAATAACAATTATAAAAACCTTTTTAAACTGTTTAATAGCATCTGTCACTTCTTTATACTTCTCTGCCCCAAGAACTTTGTAAAGCTTTAAATTTGGAAAAGATAGTTTTGAAATTTTTGAAAAAAAGTCTCAAGTTTTAAATGCATAGGCGGATAGGCCTATATACTTTATTTACTGTTTCCTTTTACAAACCTTTGTGAGGAATGCTTTGACAACTTGGTCTTTGCTTTTGGCAGGTGCTTTTTCCTAAGTAATTCCAAAAAAAGGGTTTATTCTTAGATGATGCTGAGTCTGAAGATGTAAAGTCGGTTTTGAGCTGCACACCTGCTGACATAACAAATTAAGCAAAACCCCAGGCGTTGCGACATAGCCGTTGAAACATTAATAGAAAATATGCGCAGAAGAAACACTATCATCATTTTTAATTACACTATAATCATCTTGCTTCGACAAGATGAATTTGTAAAAAAATGGCGACGCTTTTTTGGCGATGTATTTTCGGCTTCGACCTTCAATGGTGGCCTTCAAGTTGGCTTCAAAGATGGCGACCGAGTTATTCGTTCTAGTCTACTTAGAGTTCATTGGCTAAATACCTTCTCCGCTTCAACCGTTTGAGGCTCTGACTCAGGACGAGTAATCTGCAGAAAAAATAAGTAACCCGTTTTAAACTGAAAAAGATTCACGTGAAAATATAGATTTTAAAAGAAATGCAAAAAACAACAATGACCGTTTCCTCTGCAATATTTTCAGGTTGAGATCTACGGACAATCTACAAATGAAATGCAACAGTTACATTTAAAATGTTTAAAAATACGCTCTTAAAAAAACTCTTTTCACTTATGTGCAGAGAACGTAATACAAATTTCAAAGAAGATATAAACAACGTGTGTTTATATTATGTTGCGCCGCAATGCATTATGGAGTGGCATGATAGCGATAGGCAAATAAAAATTTAATTAATTTCATTTTAATAATGAAATGTCTTATAAAACTTTTACTAAAACTATTCATTGTAGTTTAATTTTTGCTTTATTTTATTCTGAATTAGAATGTTAAAAAATTTTTTCCCAACAAAATCGACGACAGCAGTTGGCTACCATAAAAGTGCTTCGTTATTACCGCCGAATCCCGCTCGAATTACGAACAAAATACTTCAATGTGAGGTTTTGAATGTGATTTTTGAATGTGATTTTTAAATGTGTTTCTTTCGGTGAAGCAGAGCTCCCTTCTCTACCGCACGACGGCAAAATATTATCAAACTTACTTTTAGTTTCTTCTTATTAACAGCTGTATGCTTCGGTTCCTCCACAACAGGACTATATGAATTGGATTTAGAGCAGGTCTTTAGCTAAAAAATACAAAAGAAACTAAAGCATCCATTTTCTAGATGAGAAGATAGTATTCCGATATCATTCCTGTTCAGCGAGTACGTCATTCCGTATTGAGTAATGCATTCAAGTAAGGTCATTTCTGTTGCTACGCTTTATTTCACAATTTACTAAACCTAAGTGTTGATTGTTAATTCAGAACTTTGTCGCGGAAACTCTTATGACAATAGTTCACAAGCCGTTATCAATGAATGGTTTCAGTTATACACTAAATCTTAATCTAAAAAAATATGTACAAAAATTCTGATTACTACTCGTTCTATTATAATGCCCTTTCTAGTAAAGTGTGCAATTCCATTCAGCCTTTATGCCCAGTTGAAAAATTTGACATGCTCGCGACATTGTAAACACTGGCAACCGTATGCATCCTTTTTATATATTACTGGGTACAATTTATTCCTCTTCGATTCTGGCTTAATCGTTGTTATTAAATTACTTGAACAATGAGCAATTGTTCAGTTGTGAATTAATCCCAGACACGAGATCTTGTTACCTTTTTCTGAGCAAGATTCGTCTTCATTTTTGCCTAAATAAGAATGGAATAAGAAATAAAGAGATGGTTGCATGGTTGAGATGATTTGGACACGTAATAAGAAGAGATGATTAAGATGAAGAAGAGCTGCATGGTCTCAGAGATTTATTGAGGCAAAGAACAGGAATTTTAAAAAAGAACAAACCTCGTGAGCATCTAAAGTGTCCAAGAGACCATGATTCGATGACTGCTGTCGATCTGAATGAAGTTATTAAATGGGTTTAACCACGTGCCCCGCTTTCAAGAACACCATGTCAACAACATATTATTCCTATCATTAAATCACAAATTTGGGACAAATTCTTATGAATAAACCCACGGTCAGACGATGCAACATCTAACCAAGTGAGGAGCTAAGCCTGACCAAACTAGTCCAAACCACAGAACACTAATAAAGTTCATGCTATACACACGAAAACATCAATCTGATCTCCCCAGGTAACATTGGGACAATATTTCACTACAAAAGAGACCGACTCGCTGAAGACACTTTCTTAACATCTGTAAAAACGCTATATTTAATGCAATATTATTTAAATGAATATCAGCTAGACAGTTCATGCATATGTTCAAAATTAGCAGAATTTGAGCACTTCTATATCAATTAGGCAAGCCATTGTTATAAGCAGAACGGATCCGTAGACTTCGCTGTAACTCCCCTTCAAGGAGTATAATAAGGATAATTTAAAAAAACATTGCGATTGGAATGAAAAAAGACAACAAAGCAATAATAGAGTTCAAATTCCGGTTTGCAAGACTAGTGCTTCCAGGCGCCACAATCAATTCGTAGTCGCTTTCCCATTTCAGTGTCGGGTTGAAGGGATCTGCAGGGCCTTGCTGCTTCTCTTGTTGGTTCGACTTAAACCCGGTAAAACATGTTTTCTTACAGCACGAGGAGTCCAATATATGTTTGCTGTAAGTACGACTGTACGAGAAACGTTCATACATATAGGCTATGCACACTTCTTTCCCATAGAAGATTACCGATACATCCCGACCGTAGGTTCGGTTTGCTTGGGATGTTTTAAACGACAACCCTTTTACAAGTGGATATGAGACATTGAAACAGATATTTTTTGTGTATCTCTGACACCAGACGCGATTCAGCACGGCGACTTTGGCAGAACCTGCCTCGCCAACATCAGGGTAACAAGGTTCGGATGTTGGCTGGACGCCGTGATGGTTGGGCACGATAATCAAATTTAGATCACTTTTCACTTCAGGAACTGCCTGGTACGAATAGGTCGGGAAATTCTTTCTTTCGACAATGATCGCCGACTCGCTGAAGCATCGCTGTCTGCAACTCGAAAGCGATAATACAATTCCAAGTCTTGTCCATTTGTACTCCTCGTAGATATACGATATGCAGGCTTCTTTTCCGTAAAATAGAATGGACAAATCTTGGCCGCATGTTTTAGACGCTTGCGTGGTATTATAGAGCGAATCTTTGGTAAGAGGGTAAAACTTTGGTGAATAAGGCTGGCCAAATTTCGAATAGCAATTTCGTTTAGTACAGCGTATTTATGTTCACCATTTCGCCTACAGTTGGAGTGCACGTGTTGGCGGCCGCTTGCACAATGCATAAGACAAAAAATATACGAAGGATTTTCCGTTTCATCTCTGCATGTCAAACTTCTCGAGAACGACAAATATACGAGGAAACGTCGAATTTATGCGATAAATGCAGCATGCATATCTAATCTCGAATGACAGCATGTATATACGAATCGAAAATATTTGTATTCTTCAAAACAAAGATGAAACCAGCGGGTGTTTTTTGACGATTCTTCATTCTTGCAGCATACAAAACGTGGAATATAAATGGTAGTCCTTGATCTAATTGACTGCGTGTGGGCCAGCCACAAATGTTTAACATTATTTTGACTTGGTTATATGCCGCACAGGACTGAGAAATAATAGGAAATTGGACATATTTATTACAAATTAATTGTAAGCTATAGTAACTGGTCAGTGACTGGTCAGTGAGTATAGCTTTTTGATGCCTTTTATGAAATTATGTTGAACCTCAAAGTTTCTACTAAAACAATTTGTCGCCTCGGGCTCAGTGATTACGATACTCTTCTATATTCACTTCGCTTTCGGCTGACGATGCTTCATCAAACCTGACAAAAGCTTCACCCCCCCCTCTCCCCCCCATAAAAACAATTGAAAGTAAAACATTTGAAGTCTATACCTTTTTCCTTGTTAACAACCTCGTTTCTGTCCCCTTCAGTGAAAGATGCAACAGACATACCCATAGCGTCAAGCAGCCAGGAGTTTCCGGACGTTTCACCCTGTTTCTTCCCATTACAATTGCTTACAACTTCGCCCTGTGTAGGATTCTTAACCCTGGTGCAGCTTGCGACACACTGAATATAATATAATATAAAATATTTTGAATTATTTCATCGACCATAAGCAAGCGAGATATTTTCTTTGGCGGTCTCGCCAAGTAACATCGCGAAGCGTCGGAAGAGGAATTTCAGAATATTGCAATCCACTACAGCAAAGCCCAGTTGTACAAAACTCTTTAACTACATTTTGCATAGCATCAAATGTGGTATAACAACTGCCTAAGATAGACAAAAACACTTCTCGACGTTTCGACGTGAGGGTTTTCAGAGATCTGACGAATTAGTAATTTCCCTCGCTACTGATCTACAAATATCACTGATATGCGTTCTTGGCGGAGGAGTCAGACTGTTTGCCACCAATTTACAAGAGCACTCACCTTATTCACACTGGAAGAACTTCCTAAGGGCTTTTGATTATAGGTGTCGCTCTGTTTCGATTCATCAGAACATCCCAGAGTTTCTTCTCGAGTTACCTTCGTTACTTTCATACAGCTCGAATCACACTGGGAATGAATGGTTTAGAAATATCCATGGTAAAATTCGTTAAAAGGCTATGAAACTCCATATATCACCGAAACTATTTTCACTATATAAATTTGAAAAGTTCACTCAGTTGGCCATGCTAACAAGTTCAGAATTTTTCTACGTTTAAAAAAAACTACCCAGGGAATAACTTTATCCATTTTTACAAACAACCGGCCCCAGAGCGGCTCGTTCATTGGACATTAAAAGATGGGATTTCCACAATATAGACAACATCGATATTTAAAAAGTGTTGAAAATGTAACGTTTTATTTTAGTGTTCAGATCAAAACGAAAATACGGCGGCAAAATTCAGTTTATATCGTTGTCTCTTCGTTCTATGGCACACCATTCTACCGGCGAATTAGGACTTGACTAAATCTCTTTTCGCGTATTTATTACGATACTTAATTTAAGAACTCACTAATTCGGTTGCTCGTCTGAAAAAGTTCCGTAACTCCCTCTGGAGGTCCCCAAACTTCGGATATGTAGAAATATACGGCTTCATCCATTTTGGCAGTTCCGCTTTTGTTCTTTCTTGGCAGAACCTTCGAAAATGAGGACACAATTCAACAAACTCGCTTGCCTAAATGGATCACATCTGACCTGGTTTAGGGGTGCAAGGACTTATCATATAACAGTTTAAATATTGACTAAGAAAGAGTGCATAAGAGAACTAGACAGAAAAAATGGACAAAAATGAGACAGTTTACACTGAAGCTCCCCCTCCCACAAAATAATAAAGAGGTTAATTTACCCTGAAGCAGTCCACGGGTATGGGTAGTCTTATTTTGCTCAACAGAAATTTAAGCTGTTTACAATGTTTTATGATAAAAATCTTGTTTTTCTCAACAGGTCAAAGTCTGACAACTGGAAAAGCATTTTAGAGGTGAAGTCCAAATATCGATGGAAATTCATTGAATATAATTAAGGCTACCTGTACCCGTAGACCAGAACCTGGGTATCAGATTAGAACGGATATGCAAGGTCATCTGGCAGAGTTTTCTGTAATTCTCATCTGAAATTTCTTCGACCATGTTAAAGTTTAACAAACACACCTCTCGTCACAAAAGAGTATGGCTCCATAATCTTCTTTATGACGTAATACACGACCGATGGCTTGATTGACAGCTCGAGATGCCTGCTGACCATACCATTGTTGACCATTTAATCCCTGTAAATACACGATTATGAGTGAAATAGTACCTACATTTGCTCCTGACACAGAAGCGTGAAACTATTGTGGTATTATGGTATAAACAATTACACGACTTGGAGATTACAGTAACGATTTGATAGAGCTTCAGATAAAATTCTCAGCACAAAAGTTTCCCTATTTGAATACGGGCTAAATTGACTTTAGAATCACGACAAATCAAACCACAAAGCAATCTTAATAGTTTATTCCTTAAACAATCTATAATGATTAGAGCCACTTTATAACGAACCTTAAATTCTCTTTTGTTTACCACCTCATTTAGGAATTGTTTTTTCAATTCCACCTAAAATGCGAAGGAAAACAAAAAAATGTTTTTGAACTTTGGAAAGATGTCTAGAGATAATAGATTTTAACCATAGCTAGGGTAATAATGTAATATCTAAACTGTATTAAGTCAAACTTGAGTAGCCACAAATCCCAACGTATTCCTATATATCATCGTTCAGTCTGTCAATCAAAAGACTCATTTCCTGATTTATTTTTGCTAATATTAAAACAGCATTATTAAGGTGGTTAATCAAAACCCTAACCTTTGGATCAAAAGCCGGGGGATAAGGTAATCCAGTTATGACGACAGCTCGACCGTTGATATCACTAAAATCGACACCTTCGCTGACCTAAACGTGAGAAACACACGAGTTTCTTGTGAAACATCCGAGGCTCGTATCAATTCTTTTTACGATCTGTTATCAGGATGTGTTTGACTTGTATGTTTCGATCATAGTTTGATGTCCATATAGTTTATTCCATGTCCAGGATGCACGAAAGTATTCCTAACTTTTAATCCTAAACCCTAACTACTTATACTAAAGAATTGAAATCAAGGATTATATTCGTGGATTCTGAACATGAAACTACTACCTGTTTCCACCAAATCTGACTAGTTTTCAGCAGATTGGCCAACAGCTTAATACTATATACAAGATTTCAAACCTTACAAGCTGTCTTAAATGTCTGTGTTTAAAGCAGTAGACACCATACCTTTCCTCGGCAAACGGCAAGAAACACAGCACCCTTGTTCTCTGGATTGCGAACTTTATCATAAAATCCTTCCATTGCCTAAAACAGTTTTTCGACGTGGTAAAAACGTACAGAGATATGCACTGTTTAACTATACATTCATTCGTTACAAGGCCTAGTTTTACGATTTCGCTGAATGGAAATAGAACCAACCTCTGTAAATTCGTTTTTTCGTCTCGGTTCAACAAAAATAGTTTTTCTTGTCTCAAGTCGGTTCCATAGACCAGAACTCTTACAAAACAAAGGATAATCATTGTGAATTAACGTAACGGACTAAGATATGAAACATCGTTCCTATCAGTTTTGTCAACAAACGAGCCGGTGGAATTTCGACCTAAGGAAGAACCACCAAAGGTCCAGTAAGATTAATCTGTATAAAAATCACATTAGCTGTGTTTATACTAGAGACGAACAATTCATCTGGACGAACCTGGGCAAATATTTTTAATTCGTCTGTTAATTCGTCTGGGTATCAGAAACTACACCACCGTTAAATCTATAGTTATACCTGCCAATGTTTCAGTGCAGTATCAAGGGTTCCATAGGACGGGAAAAACACCAACATTCCATCAGGAACGACCTGTGCAAAATTTACTGCAACAAAAAGGAGTTTGATCAACGCAAACTTGAAATTTAGAATGGTTCTTGCCCAGCATGGGAGAGGTACGTACCCGTTATATAATCTCCCTGTTAGAAGAGTTAGTCCCTGCCTCAAAAATTATGTAAGGTTGCAAAGAAATTACCGGTTTTGGGAATGAACTTACCGGATTTGGGAACTTACATGCCTAAACCTTCCCAGACAAAATGAAACCAGACATTTTGCTACGATTTTATTTTTCGGAAACTTACCTATTGCAATCCCCAGACTTGTTAAGTACTTTACGTTGTTCCTGTGGAAAAGGGGACGCCCTTAGAATTGACACTGATAGTGTAGTTGCATGTACACCGCTTAAAAGTAGTAGTAATCCAGAAACGATGAGAGTTAGAGACTCTCCAATGCAAAATTCTACCTGTTTTTGTACGACGAATTTAGGACTGCCGAGTCGGGTCCTGTTTTGAGGATTCCAACAAACATCTGATGTTTCTTGATGACATGTGGATTTTGAAGTTCCACTGGTATATCGCTGTGGGATGAAATAAGTTCTGATCAAATTTCCTGCAGTCACACGTAATTGTAAAGATATGAATCCGATCAACGTAACTATATATAGCCCATATATACGTTGAGCTGAGCCTAGAATTTAGTGTACGTATAATTTTTAGAGCAGATTTGCAGGAAGTTCATCATTAAATTGAAAAAGATTTCACTTACATTTGAAGCTCGGATTTAAAAGAGTCTAAAGGTGAAAGTGTTCCACTGGTCAAAATCATACATCTCACTTCGTGTTTCATCAAATCTTTCATTGTCTCTCCTGGAGAGAAGCACCAGTATCCCAGGGAATAGCCTAAATGTTGGTTTGTCAATTAGAAATCGATTTCGGTTGGTACTCAGTTAGTAGCATAACAAAATATTGTAGAAGCAACCAAAGTGTGCATATGATATAGAAATTCATCGACGTATATAGCCACTGGATTTGCTGAATCGACCACAGTGATAACAATAACAGCGGCTAAGTGACTACAAAATAATATTTCAGTAGCTCTTTTCAATGGCTTTATATTATGGATGATGTAATTGATCACCTTTGTCGCCGCCAGCTGCCTTGCTGGTTGACCAAACATCCAGTTGCTTCCTCTTCCAATCATCATTCGTTTGCTGTTGAACATGAACCAAAAAAAACAAGGAACTTAATTTGGCTACAGCAATACATGAATTGTCTCATTTTTCATTAACTACCTGCCATGCAGAGCTTACTTTTAATACCCCCAGGTTGAGATGATTGCACCGTAAATGTGCCAGCTTGTTGTACATCAAATAAAATACTGTAAAGTTTAAGGCTTATGGGAGCAGGTTGCATGTTAATGATAAATGACAGTTATATATTATTAGCTTGCCTTATAAGAACGACTTCTTTCCTCTTTTTTGCTCGAACCTAATGCATCGCCGTTCCGAAAAACTACCTGGAATGCAATAATATGGACAGATTAGACTAGTTTTTATCGGTGAAAATGATTGTTTACGAAATTGATTGTTTACAACAATTACGACACATGCAATGGAAACCAGGTTAACGACTGCTTGAAGATATGTTTGCCTCAAAGCAAACATATACCACTAACTACCACTAAATAAATACCATAAACTACCACTAAATAAATACCATTAACTACCACTAAATAAATACCATTAACTACCACTAAATAAATACCATTAACTACCACTAAATAAATACCACTAACTACCACTAAATTTTCTATCATGTCAAAAACTACTGTATACGTACTTTCAAGGCGTCCGCGAACTTGCTTAAGTGAAATTGTCTTTGTCTTGCCCCACCAGTTTGATCTAAATTGAAGAAGATTTGCTTAAATCATGTATGTATTTCATTTCCCAGTTTTAAAAACTATTTTGCTGCAATATTGGCATACTAACTCATGCAGAGCTTGCTCTAACTCAATAATCGCCTATTTAAAACCCTTTGCACATCCAAAATTAACAAATGAAATGTTGAAACGAGATCGGAAACCACTTCATAAACTCACTTGCAACGGAAAATGAAACGACTTTCTCGATTAGTTCGACCACTTGGCTGTGCGTTTCACGAGTGATTTTGACTTTGGCCAGAAGTTCAAAAATGTAACTGGATGACAAAAAGACAATATTCATAAAGACTGCAAAAGTTAAGACATTTCTAACGAGGCTGCAGGCATATAACGCTTGTAATTTGTTTCAACAACGTTTTTAAATAAATTTTATACCGCACCTGCCGGGATGTGTAATTCCTTTGGATGATGAAGACGTTACAGTATGCAATTCTTCCTCTAGCTTCAAGACCAAGCCTGGAAAACAAACAAAATAGACCGAATTATCATACGAAATCAGGCTAGCAAATCATGTCTAAAAAGGAGAGGCTGGGCATGAGTTTAGGAGTAAAATTATGAATGAGCTAGCCGTCATCTGATTGGCTTGATAGCTAATGTAGCTAAATCACTTGCATGCTGTTCACTGAACTGCATACAGCTGAGATGAGGTGTACAAAAACATTCCTAGCTACCCTCTTAGTATTCCCCAATTTCCTTTCGTGGCTTCACTTAATACACACTACAGGTATATTTTTATCGATGATATAAACAAGAGGCCGATTTTGATGTGCGGTTTCAAATTCAATCCAGATAACATAACTGGCAATCGAAAGCTATACATATACCTTTCATGTATGCGACTTCCTGTTTATCCAAATCTCCATCATCTGGAAAACAGAAATACGAAATTTTTAACACAGCTGATTGTATAAAAAGGCGATCAACTATATGGATAGCGGCAAAATTGTTCAATAAGAATCTTGTGTTATGAAGTTGACTACGATTTTACTACACGGCCCTTTCACATATTTAGCAAATTTTTCAAACACCACTTGACAGTTCTATTAATCCCGCATTGTGATCGCGCATTCATGATTACCCATACTAATAAACCATTTGCATAACAACATAATAATAAAGAGATCAACTTGCTTTTATTTCCAGCGTCATCGACTAAGGAGAGCGTTCCGTCTTCTTCCATGGTTGCCAAAGTGTCCAAACACTTGTCCAGGTCTTCAATGCAGCTGGCGATGTCAAACGAGGTAAGATCGAAAGACATCGCTGCTTCACAGATTTGTTCCTACGAAAATTGAACATAATTTGGAGTTTTGAGTGAAGAACAGTAGCTTGCTGGTTGCCTAACAAAATTTCGACAGAACATAGCGCCATCAAAACTCAAATGGATTTTGATAATCGACTACAGTCACGTATTGTGCCCTTGAAAGGCAAACGGGGAAATGTCCGAAAGGTTGCTTGCTACAACCAAGAAAATTTCTGTGTGATGATCTTTAGAAAGGAGTCATGTAAATTAAGAACATCCTCTTACAATATTGTGTGCTTCGTCGAAGATGATAATACTCTTTGAAATATCAATGTCGTTTGATTGTCTTGACTAAATTAAAGAGAAAAACCTTGTTGGATATATATAACATATCTTGACCAATTCAGCTGATTGAGCTATCCGTACAGATACAGGCTCGATGCTAGGGGAGGGGGGAAAATATATAGGTATACGAAGATACTGATCTCTAACGTTCCACAGAATATATGCAGGCTTACGGATTCGAAAATACATACCAAGCAACTCGCGGTAAATATTTAGTTTATTACGGGGAAATCGGCTTTAAAAGCAGTCAAATCGAAGAGTCGAGTCAAATACCTTTGCGTCGATTAAATAATTGTACGGCATGAATACAATGTCAGCGTTTTTCCTTTGTTTTCGTGACATGAAATAAGGACAGCGACTATAAAAATAATAAATATATCAAAACGATCAGGCTCAAAATGACTTACACGCACTTGTCGCATTTATTGTCACCTTTCTTTCTTCCCAAGTCCAACAAGATCCTCAATATCCAAAATCTCCGATGCCAACTCTTTTGTACAGGAATCATCTACAACAAGGGATACAGAAATTAACAATAAGTTCCTATTTAAACGAGCTTGTTAGGCATGCAAAAAAATGCAGGATGTGATATTAATGCGCCTTTTTTGACTAATTCTTGGACCATATAAATTCATCACTCTACTTAGATTGACAGGACACTAGTTAGTGGGGAAAGCCCTTAAATTTAAAGTGTCTATTTGCAAGGGAATACCAAACAATCTCTGACGATACTGTATACGCCAATGGCAATGGCCGAATAACCAAATAAAAACACTTCTTAGTGGTAGTACCTCGTTCAAGCATATTATAGTAATGACACGTCTTTGATAACACTTTCGTACGGCACAAATGCCTCTGGAAATAGTAAAAAGAATAGGGATAACTATCTTATTTTAGGGACAAAAGAATGTAGATACTGTGGATAGTAAATTATTCAGTTTATCGACCGTGCAAGAAAATGGGTACATGGTATGTATTTGAGCTACATAACTCCAACGAAGTCATTTACACTTGCCTTGGCCGTGTGCGTTTCTTGTTCAAGAACCTGGGGATGAATGCACAGCTGGTCACGTGAACCTAGCACGCATACTTTGGGTCTGAAACAAAAATCAACAGAAAGCGCCAATCTGAAATTTTCCTCACAGTTAAATCTTAGTTTCCCGGTTGAACTCAGCACTCAGGGCTTCATGTTTAATCGTGTGACCCAGCGTTGTTTTTGCGCTGGGGTTTTACAGTAAACTGACTGATTTCAATCAGGCTAAAATTTCAGGCTGTGAATGCCGGGCTGAATTCAACCGCAAGCCAGTTGAAATTTGAAAATGTTTTATATAATATGAGCGGCGTACATAATTAACTTACTTGTAAACTGTATTCTTCAGCTCATTTACGACTTGTGTAAGTTGTGAATGGGTTCTTGATGTGTAGATGATTTTTGGTACTGAATACTCGGGAGCTTATAAAGAGAAAAGTTATACATTAGCCGGTTGTTCAAAAGCCGGTTAGCTTAACCCTGGGTTAAAGCAAATCTTTACATCCATTTTTTAAATCGCTTGTTTACAAAGATGAATATATTTTTTCATAAATATTTTCTGTACCAATAGAAGTCATATTTTCTAAAGTTTCAAAACGAACAGTGGTTCAGAAGCACATAAACTAAAACACTGGATTAAAATTTAACCCAGGGTTAACGCTAACCTAGCTTTGAACAACTGGGCCCTAGGAAGCTTCTCTAACATTTAATTAAGACGGTTAGAATATTTAGATGAATGTGAGCTAGATAAGCAGGATATGCTCACATTCAAATCGTGTTCTGATTGGTTGAAGCCCGTGTTTGGATCAGGCCATCCAAACACGGAAATTTGGCGGGAATTTAAAAACAAATTTATCATGGTTTGTTATTTCATAAAACAATTACTTAATGGTTTCCGTGTTTGGATGATCTGATCCAAACACTTGGGAATGTTGCTCGAGTTAAGAAAAGCTTGCAAAACACTCGCCTTCGGCTCGTGTTTCGCGCGCTTTTCTTAACTCTCGCAACATTCCCGCGTGTTTGGATCAGGCAATCCAAACGCGGAAACCATTAAGTAATTGTATATTGCACTTTCTGAGCGCATGTAATATACAATTGCTCATACTACATCATTTCTGTTGTTTGGTCATGTGATGAAAAAACGCGCAGCTATTGGTTCTTTTGATTAATTATAGCGTCTAGCTCGCATTCTGATTGGTTCCTGAGGTCGCTACAGTTGCTCCATTTTGGCGCGAAATCGTAACATTCGCATTGTAGAACCGCCGTTGAGAAGTATATCTGGAAAATGTTTACTATTTTTCGCTTGGTAAGAAATATAATATCAATATTACAGTTTCATCTGGGTTCCTCTTCACCATTTTTACATTTTTTAGCCCTTTGTTTCATTGAAAATGTGGAATATTCCTAAACAAGTTCGAAATTCTAATTATTGAAAATGGCAACAAAATCTAAAAGCAACACATACGCCATTTTTCAGGTAAACATAATTTCATCAGATTATATGAAGATTCATGAAGATGTTGTTTTGAAATTGTGTTTTTTCTAACCTTTTACAGTAAGTTGTGTCTTGTTATTAACTAGGGCAAAAATCACAATGTAAACAAAGTTATACGAAAGTTGAACGACTTCAGAAACCTGTTGCGCTTGGAATTTTCGTTAAAAATCGTTCCGTGTATCAATTTCGAGACTTAAATTATAGGCTGTACAGAAGGGTACCTGAACTATAGATCTCGCTACTTTATTTTCATAAAAACTTGACCAAATTCCCTTATGGACTTTATGCCCAGATAATAGGCAATATATATGCGTTCAAATCAGACTCAGATTTTACAATAGTTTACCTTCACTTCACTTTACATTTACCTTCACTTTCTTCTGACATCCAGCCATCAGCAGCATGCCCAAGGTTTCTTTCTAAATCATCACAAAACTGGCCACTTGCTTTATTTTCTTGAACCTTCATACTCAGTTGCAAGCGAGCCACAAATGTGTCTCTCCAGGCCAGTGTTGCACAAAGTAAACATAATGTCTTTCCAGTTCCTGTTGGTGATTCTAAGATACCATTTTTACCCTGAAAATGGTAGGATGTTATTGTCTGGAGAATGCTGGCTATTTATGTTATAAGGTATGGGGGTGGTATGGTGGGGGTGAGCCACATATAACACCTCCCCACCTAGTTGTAAATATTACAACACCTAAAAGAAAAAAATCCACAGGTTTTTTAGTAATTGTTGATATCCCTTAACACCTGATGATATTGATCATTAATTATATTTTAGCAACATTTAGTACAAAACTTTAAACTTTAAAGATGGAGGAGCAAAGGTAAGATATTATAACACTAGACAAATAAAATAGTAGACACAAAACTTGATGCAAATAAAAATCATTACATTTCAGGGAATTAATTGCCAGATAATGTGCTGCTATAATTTTCAATTTTTTATTCTTGCGGCAACTGTCAGGTAAAATTCTTTTGTTTGTACCAAAGTCGAAATGATAGAAATTAGAGACCTGGATGTACAAAACATTAAGGGGCTGTTTACATGAGCCCTACAGGAAGGGAGGGCTAGCCCAACCTGTAGGGCTGCTTTTCACCTCTGTTTACATGCAAAATTCTAACCCCACATCTACGGCTGAGTCTGGACGGCACATTTTGGCACCAAAAACAAAATGGCTGGCACCAAAAAAAAACACAAAATTGTTATTTTCACTATTTCATTTAAAATATCTTTACTTTTCCTAATGATTTTTCAACAGTATACCCTGTTATTGCCTCGAAAAATTAATGAAGAAAGCTGGAACCGTCAAATAGTGTCATCGCTGACGTCAAATCTTTTGCTAGCTGGCCCTGTTACGTTTACATGGAAAATTTCTAGCCCTACCAGGTGAGATCTCGCCTGGTAGGGTTGGCCCTCCTCTAATGAAAACAAAATTTTTCTTTAGTATGGATTCATAGTAGCATGAGCTATCGCGCTTGGTAGGGCTAGCTAGCCTTCCCTATAGGGCTCATGTAAACAGCCCTCAAGTGATTTTTTAAAAATATACATTGGCTGGTAAATCTGAAGATTTTTGTGTGGGTTAGTGCACCAGGAAGCAAAATTGTGAAATGCAGACATTTTAAGATTTTGGTGCTTTCTTTTCTAATTGATTAATGATTAACAAAGACTAAATTTATTGCAAAAATATTTCTGGAATGGATCGAGATTAATAATAGCTGATATTCATGGAAATTTTTTGATCATCTTCTGCAACTGTTCACGCTATACCCTTTTTAAAATGCAGGAACAAAACGTGTTATTTGTGAGTTTATATCACCAAGAGTACTGTACAGTCTGTACTACATAAACATTGAGTCAAAATGCATTAATCAAGAGATAAGAGATTAAAGAGAATAGGAATGCATCAGTGTCGATGTGTCAGCGATCAAAGACTAACAAGAATCGTACCGACTCTCATAATCATCTGAGACAAGGTCTATGTTATTAAACACTATCAAAATTCAAAACAAAATAATTATAAAATGTAGGCGAACCAACCTCTTGCAAACATTCAATAACTTTGCTCATGTAGTTTACTTGGCAGTCGTAAGGCTTGTATGGGAAATCAATTTCGACTCCCCGTACCTTGATCACTGGCATGGTTGAACGGTGAATCTAAAATACTACATTTTGTTGCAAAAGTATTCGCCTTAAAATTCTACAAAGTAACAAAAGCAAACGATCATGAGCAAATGCTTATTTTTTTCACAATTTGCGCCATTTGTCTTCGTTAGTACTCAGTCTTCTCAGGACGGGCACTGAACTCATGCTTAACCAGGATGGTTGAATAACTTGTAAAATAGCGGTAAAGTCTGTAATCTAAGAGCTAAAAGCTAGCTTAAACTCCACTGAACCTGAAATAGATCTTATGCATAATGGCGTATCAAGCCGTGACGCCTGCAGAGAATTCTTGTTTTAGTAGTCACTGCGAAAAATTCAAACTTACAATGCTATCATATAATGATATATATTCATAATTTCATGCACTTAACAACTATTTACAATGATGTTTGCAATTGATCTTATACAAACATTTGCACAGCCTGTTCTCTAAACTAGTTTAATAATGCTCCTTTACTCTCCTGCAATCACAGTCAGACCATTGGTCTTATAATGGCCGAGAGACTTCTCAGCAGAATACTCTCAGACGATTCATAGGTAATTGTCGACACTTTCTGGTTGATCAAAGCAGCTCTCTGCCAGTGGCTGCCACAATCATGGTGATGTTAATTTTCTCCGGAATGGTGCAGGTCAGGTGAATTTCCAACTTCGATTGATCGACCATTGAAGGAGGAGAGTACCAAAAAGAACAATTGGCACTAGGATGATTGACCAATTACCGAGAACATGAATAAGTTCATAGCTGTATAAGTTCAGAGCATTAGCTTAGTTCGTCAACACTGCTCGCAAATATGTTCTTCCTACTGGCCACCAATGAGATGTCTTATTTGATGGCAGAATGGTATGACAGGATATTCAGCTTGGCGTTCGTGGCTCCGGGTTCGCGAAAACGGAGCTGGCTCCGAGTTCGCGAACCGGTTTCATACAAACCGATGTGGCCGCTTCGCTTTTAATAGAATATTGTTAAGAACATGGCCGAAAATGAGAGTTTTATTTCATTTAGTTTGCTCGCAATAGCTCCGTAAAGTTGGCTAATTTTTGCACAAAGTTGACTGGTCAGCGGCATGGGCGACGGCAAGGCTTTATAAAAGTTCGATTTACTAGCTTAGTTTTTGTAAAAACCAAAAGATGGCGATTCGAGAGAAAGCTTATGAGAATATCTTCTAGCTTGCGAAATCACGACAAGCAACTTGTTTAAAGTCTAGCAATTTGATTTCATGCACGTACCCGTGATATAAATGTAATCCCTTCGCGAAGGCAACTAACCCGGTTTCTGCAAATTTTTGTTTTTCCACATAGGTTTTTCCACATATGATCAATGTCAATGTAAATGTCATATGATCAATATAACATTGATCATATGACATTTACATTGACATTGATCATATGACATTTACAGTTCAATAAACCTATGTGGAAAAACGCAGTAACCGGGCTAGTTGCCTTCGCGAAGGGATCCGGATTAAAATTTATGTCACGGGTGCGTGCATGAAATCAGACGGCTACAGAAGTTGCCTGTCGTGTTTTCGCAAGCTAGAAGGTTAGAAGTATAAGGATATTCTCATAAGCTGTCTCTCGAATGGCCATCTTTGAGTTTTTACAAAAACTCGTCGTAAAGCTAGTAAATCGAACTTTTATAAAGCTGCCGCTGACCAGTCAACTTTGCGCCAACTTTAAAAAAAGCCAACTTTACGGAGCTACTAAATAAGACTCTCATTTTCGGCCATGTTCTTAAGAATATATATAAAAAAGAAAAATTAAGGCCTTTTTAAATTTTTCGATTTCCAAAGCGAAGCGGCCACATCGGCTTGTATGAAAACTAACCACTCCAGCTCCGTTTTCGCGAACCCGGAGCCACAAGCCTGGAGCTGAATATCCTGTCATCAGAATGGTAACTACTGGTCGCAATGGCTGGCCGGCTCATCGACAGTGATCGGCCATTCCTGGTAATTTTCTTCCATAGACGTCTCCAACAATTCCTGACTGTTTATCTGGGATTGGTTCGATGACTGGCCAACAGATGACTGGCCACTGATTGTTGGCGATTTGCTTCCAGCTGTTTGGTGAAGAGCCTGGAATGACGTTTGTTTGGCCATGGCCACGGCAGAGACGTCGTACGAACCACGACGTCTGTGGAAAATACGACGGAAAAAGGATGACAGTCGTTCAGTAAATGAACGCTTTACTCGCAACCTTAAAGAGAAAAAAACATAATTTCTATAATTGTTGCTATAGACCCCTAATCCTGATGATTTGAAGAATATTGTCATGCTAATAGACACAGCAAAACAACTTTCACAACAACACAGCCTTGTTTCAAAGCGTAAACGATTAGACAGAATTTATACAGAATTCAATATCTCATAAAGCGTAAACGATTAGACAGAAATAACGGACTTCGCAACCAGCAAAGGTGGATAGTAACAAACATCTAATGATCTAACAACTCAGTATTCAACATCAGTACATCAGTAAAGCACGTTTACATCGTCGCTGCGACCACTGACTAGGAACCTAGGCATATTGTTGCACTATTTCGGGATCACACCGTCTCCGAAATACATATTGATATTAGTTGAAGGTGAAGTTACTCACCAGGAGTGCTTTGCAACTTTTTTTATACTTGGTCGGGCCGCTGGGTCCATGCTAAATAATTTTCTCATTAGGTCTTGCAAATCTACAGATAAAAAATTCGAATACAAAATCCTGGATGGCCTTGTCGTATATATGAGAAAAACGAAAAAACAACAAGCAAGATTTAAATATTCTTAGCAACAACGGTTGGTGTGATTGATATGCATTCCAACTTCAAAAGGGAATTCGGGAATATATGTATGAATGCTGATCTCTATATTTTCCGGCTTTCTCTAACCTGTTATAATTTCATGAATTTAACTCACCTTCAGATAAATCATCCAGTTTTGGCGGTCCTGATATAACATCTGCAAATGTTGTGTAATCCGTAAAAGCTGGTTCGCCGTGCAACATTTCATATATCATGACTCCAATAGACCGCACAGCTTCCTTGCAAGGATCATACAATTCATGCAGAATGTATTCTGGAGGCATATTGTATGGAGTGCCTGAGGGAATAAAACATGTACAATGCAATTAACCAGTCTTTTTGAATGGAATAAAACTACTAAGCAATGACCGGAAAAGTTGAAATTTAAGAAAATGAGAAATATTACTGGGGTTGATAGTTTTACAACAGATTAAACCTGACTAAAATTAAAGCCAGTATTTTGAAACCTGAAAAAGTAAATTCTCACAGGTTCGATCAAGGATTTTTAACAATGTAGCTGATGAATTGCTACTTTGGAAGAGAAATTGGAAAGACAAATTTGTTTTATGATAACAAAATCTCACGCTAAAGGTGCATGGGAACGGAATTTGGTGATTAAAACTCAGACAACAGAGATAACAACCTCGTACCCAGGGTCTTTTTACCTCCGCTCCAAGGCCCACGCTGGTACGAGGTTGCAGAGGTAAATTATTCATGACATTCCAGGAAAGTTTACTCACCACAGAAAGCGTCAACTAGGTTGCCAGGTTTATTATACCCGCAAATCCAAAATCAAGCAACTTGATTTCACCAGTATCAAAATCATAAAGGATGTTCTCCAATTTCAGATCACGATGAACGATGTTCTTCTTGGACATCGCCAATACAACGTTGACCAACTTCTTCATGCATTGTTGAGTTTCATCCTCGGTGAAGAAACCTCCTACGTCCCACATGAGGCTTCGGAGATCTTTGCAATGAGTCGGTCTTTCGCAAATGATCACAAATTCCTCAGATGATAAAGACTGATAATGATAGAACTTGATGACATTTGGATGATCTTTCATCTTCTTCAGGAAATACACTTCACTTGGTACATCACCGAGGTCTTTATCCTGTTAAAGAACAATTGTAGGAGAATTCGATATCGTTGTTTAGCAAACGAATGACAATTGTTCGATAGGGTGTCCTAGTACAGTACCCGCTTCTATCCGCTGTTTCAAAAGTGGAGGTGCACAATGCGAAAATGATTACTTTTCTTCATGCTACACAAATCTTTGATACGATCAAAGAACCATTGCTGATTTCACGAAATTTTAGGTAACAATTTAATTTTGAAATTTTCAGACTGGAAATTAGATACCTCTTTGATTCAAAATGGTAATTCAACGTCGTCATGAGTGGAAACGGCTAACAAAATTAATCATTTAATATGTTTGCAACACTCAATTTTCACGGACTGTAAGCTATATCATCCTATGCCCAAAACTTCAACCTCGTGGAGTTTCTACGACCTTACTGTTACTCACCTTGCGATACTCACGAACCGTTTTATACTTTACAAATTTCAGGGCGACCTAGAGAGAAAAAAATTAACCACTTACATCGATGGTTTTCCTGAAAAATTCAACGGTATGGCTGACAACTAGTAAGATTTGGGCATTTTACTTCATCTCAGAAGCATGGAGGGCAATATGGCAAATAATGCCGAGGAATGTTTGTTTTGGAAGGAGAGACATTTTGTAAGAATTACCGGTGTTTTTTTGGTTCCTTTTATGGCATAACCCTTGAAAACTCCACCAAATCCACCTTCGCCAATCAAGCCATTTTCGATATAGTAGTATGTCACACCTGAAAGTCAAAAGCAATTGCTTGTTAATACAACTAAATAACTAAAGAAATATGTAAAGTAAAATGGATTTTAGAATAAAAAAACAAATGCTAAAAAAATAGGTTCGTGATTTCTATAACGTTAGAATCGACTTGCCTTTTGACTTGCAAACTTCAACAAGGTTTTCCCCATCGACAACTCTAGTGACGCGTGGCACATTTGAAGGTTGGGAAGGTTTGACTTGGCTTTCTTTCATGATTTTCCACTTGATGAGTTTTTCTTTCAAAATGTTACGCTTTCTCTTCACGTCATAGATGCTTGGGAATATAAATTGAAAATTTTTTTAATAGATCTAAATTGAGGAGTGTAATGGGAATTTTTAATAAATACAGCTGTTGTTAACTTGTTTGTTTACTTTACGGACTGCATGTAGCTACACCATCTTAAATTATCCGCGCCTACCTTTCATTTGTGCTATCTGGAACTGCAGTTGAGCAAGATTGAAGCTATAAACATAAAGAATATCGTTATGGGTTAGTGAGTTGACTTGTGCTTATTGTTTCTATTTATTGCTATTAATATCAAAATATTATTGAACAAAAATTTGTTAGAATCAAAAGTACTGAAGTTTGCCGATCTTTCATTGTTATTTTTGAGATAAATTTAATCTTCAAAAGAGTTTTGGATTGTAAGCTGCTCATTTCTTACCATTTGTTGAGACGACTGTGAGATTTGGAAGAGTTCACCGGCAGAATGTTGGTTTCCACTGTGTATTAATGAAAATGAAGAATATTTAGTTAAAGAATGAAAGATGAAGAATATCGCATTTAGAAATTGCTGCCCTATTTTTTACCACCTAATTGTCGGTACAAACATGAAGCTAAATATTTGTCGACGTATATAATAGAGGGTGCCCAGAAATATTGCGCTAAGTTAAAGATAGGCGCAAACAAGGGCGTGTTTTAAATTTTGGTCGAGGCTGGCGCACACTTAGCAATTTTCCGCGGCCCTTGGATGACCCCACTAAATTCGGCTTAGAAAACGCATCATAAAACCCTCAAACTATAGCACTTTGAAAGACTGAAATCTTAGATAAATAAAATCTTACCAATCCCAGGAATACTCCATGTCAAAGAAGCGTAAAAACTGAAATAGTAAATAGTAAAAAGTCTGATTAATTGGAGACTTGAACTGACTTCTCAAACTCAAATAGCAAAGACGCGCCTTTGAAATAATAACAAGTGTCATTTCAATATCTAATAACCATACTACTTCCTAGAATACTCATTCACGGACTTTACAACATCAACTAGAGTAATTTCCTTTGTTTCAAATCATGAATTATATCAGGAAAAATTAGAATACAAACCTAAAATTATCCAAATGTTTAGGAGATCAATATACACGTGATAAAAAAGCAAACTTATTTTTCAATTGATAATAAAAAATTCTTTACCTCAGAATACTCCGAGATTTGAGACGCGTTTATGTAATCAAATGAGCACTGGACACTACCAGCACTAAAAACGAAATTTTGTATTAATGTAGGGGACTTGAAGTGGTAAAAGTCTGTAACCTCACCAAATAAAAGAACAGGTTTTAATATTCAGATTTCAGAAGGTAAATCAATTAAGTTTATTTAGTCTTATATTACGTAATATATTAAGTTTTACTCATGCATCCCAAATTCAAGCCAGGAATAGTCGAGAAGAAAGTTGTCAGGTATCGTTGCCTTGTTAGAATTCAAACCTACGCCTTGGCGATGCCGACATTACCATCGTAAATACACAATAACAACGCTCGCTCCTATGAGCTTCCCGTGTAGCTCAATAAAAAATCATTGCACCGGGCATCATAAAGGAGAAGGTTTGATTTCTGCCGAAGGCCACTTCTCACAGGCATCGGAAAGTTTGCTAATTTTTTTCTCCTACTGACACTAGAACAAATTCAGCATAAACTTAACATCTCCCCCTTGCGTTGAAAGATGAGGGTAGCTAAATGAGTAAGAAGCGCTTGTATGGTTTGTCGTGACGCAAGGAATACCTTTTTATTATTATACTTTATAATAAAATATTACGTATTATTATCATCGTTATTTTTTCGTATCACAGATGAATAATATTTCCCCAAAATGAAGACAAACACGTGTTAATATAATAAACATTCCTTATGTTATAGCTAGACGCAATGTAAATAAAGATCATACCTCAGAGATCTCTCAAACGTTTCTTCTTCAAACGAAAATACTGATTCCTCCTGTGAAAATTAGAACGTTTATAAGCTTATTAAAGTACTGCTTTAATTCCCGATTTCCAATTCATTCTTAAAATCACAGAACCGTCCACAAAAGAAAAACACTAATTCATACCTTATAGGAGATCCGAGAATCATTAGAATTCATATTCCTGGACAGAGGGGAAAGAAAAAATGCATGAATAATGTTAAAAAGTTTTAAACAAAAATTCCCTTAAAGATCGAAGCGCAGTCTTAAACGTTTAGAGAGAGAAACACGCAGAACGCAATTCTAGGCCATTCATACGCCTAAATGAAAAATGTTATACAAAAATTCTTATTACAAAGCCGTATACAAGATGTATGAGAGTATTTTTAAACTTTGGCTTATTCATGCACCGTTTAAGCTAAACGCCTTTCGAACAACCGCTCCCAGAAAGTTTGCTAAATTTTTTGTCCTACTGACACAAAAAAAATTCCATATAAACTTAACATCTCCCCCTTGCGTTGAAAGATGAGGGTAGCTAAATGAGTAAGAAGCACTTGTATGGTTTGTCGTGACGCAAGGAATACCTTTTTATTATTATACTTTATAATAAATATTACGTATTATTATCATCGTTATTTTTTCGTATCACAGATGAATAATATTTCCCCAAAATGAAGACAAACACGTGTCAATATAAATAAAACATCCTTATGTATAGCTAGACGCAATGTAAATAAAGATCATACCTCAGAGATCTCTCAAACGTTTCTTCTTCAAACGAAAATACTGATTCCTCCTGTGAAAATTAGAACGTTTATAAGCTTATTAAAGTACTGCTTTAATTCCCGATTTCCAATTCATTCTTAAAATCACAGAACCGTCCACAAAAGAAAATAACTAATTCATACCTTATAGGAGATCCGAGAATCATTAGAATTGATATTCCTGGACAGAGGGGAAAGAAAAAATGCATGAATAATGTTGAAAGTTTTAAACGTTTAGAGAGTGAGGCCCCCAAAACACGCAGAACCCAATTCTAGGCCATTCATACGCTAAATGTAAAGATGTTACACAAAAATTCTTATTACAAAGCCGTGAATTGACGTGGAACGGGCGTTTGGATTTACGCGCGCGTTTTTATTTGCGCGTGCATTTACTTTGTTCGTTCCGCTGAACTGCGGTGTTTAAGTATAATTTTGATTTCCATTTCTTAAATCAAATCTCAAAACCAGTTTACGTTGTCGATTTCGACGGTGAACTAAATTCTCTTCCTTCCGAAACACAAGCGGAACTGTGTAAACACTTCTCTCTCCTTATATTTTATAAATTAAGCCACTTAATAATACGCAAAATGAATTAAAACAAAAAATATATGTAAACCACAATTATTTTTACACTAAACAATAAAATCTTAAATATACTTACATATTTTCTCGATAATTTCAATCTAGAATATTGAACAGCAATATAACAACGCTTTTGAAAACAATTTGCAACGAACTAACTTCGCGAAATGTGAACCTCTCGAAAAATTTCGACAAGTGAGCGGTCCTTTGTTGACGTAGATAATTAATACTTTTGCACCCGCGAGTTTTGGTGAGCAAGCGAGACATTGAGTCAGCGTTCGCGATTACGTCGTAATATGGAAAATGTTATAGTATAAATAAGTACATATAATTATTTTATGTAAGTACATATTTATGCTGAAGTATGCAATCTACAATCTTGTGGTAATGTACAACGATTTCTTAAGCCTCGTTGACTCTCATTTACACCAGAGCGTTCGAAAAGTGCCTATAACATACTCAGTGATTCCCTCTTCAAAGGCGAGTTATCTTGAGCCATTTAAGCCGAACATCAGATTTACAGTCCTGTTCGTCGTTTTACATTAGGCCACGAGTTGTTAAATTCAAAATTATAATGTATTTTCAGAATGTGTGCAAGGAAAAAGTTCTGTTTTAAAACATTCGGCGGTTTAATTGAACTTACTCAAGAAACCTTTTGCTCATATTACCTTTAGGAACCTATCTACAGGTCTGTACCAATTGTGGCATCATTGCGATTTTTGGCTGTGCTCTTTTTCCGGAAGAACTTTAGCAGTTGTTGTCTTGTAGAAGCGAGGTCTGCAAGGTTGCTTTCTACAATCATGCAACAACTAAGTCTTCCATACTCAAAAGATCCACAGAAAATTTCTGTGTGATGATCTTTGAAAGGAGGTATTTTATTCTTTATACATAAAGAACATCCCCTTACAATATTGTGTGCTTCGTCGAAGATGATAATACTCTTTGAAATATCAATGTCGTTTGATTGTCATGACTTTATTAAAGAGGAAAACTTTGTTGGATATATTTAATATATCTTGACCAATTCAGCTGAATGAGCTATCCCTACAGATACAGGCTCGATGCTAGGGGGGAGGGGATGGTAGGTATACGAAGATACTGATCTCTTACGTTCAAAAGAATGCATGCAGGCTTATGGATTCAAAAAACATACCAAGCAACTCGCGGTAAATATTTAAAACCGCTTCTTTTCACGAGAGTGAATTTTTTTAGGCGAAAATCGGCTTTAAAAGCAGTCAAATCGAAGAGTCGAGTCAAATACCTTTGTATCGATTAAATAATTGTACGGCATGAATACAATGTCAGCATTTTTCACAAATGGAATTTTTCACAGATGAATAAGGACAGCGACTATAAATAATAAATATATCAAAACGATCAGGCCAAAATGACTTACACGAACTTGTCGCATTATTGTCACCTTTCTTTCTTCCCAAGTCGAACAAGATCCTCAATATCCAAAATCTCCGATGCCAAC